GCGCTGGTCGCAAAGGCTTCCTCAACCGTTGTCGCCAGGCATCCTCAACCAAATCCGCGCTGGTCGCAAAGGCTTCCTCAACCGTTGTCGCCAGGCATCCTCAACCAAATCCGCGCTGGTCGCAAAGGCTTCCTCAACCGTTGTCGCCGGGCATCCTCATTTCATTCTGAGGTCGCAAAGGCTTCTTCAGCCAGATCTGTAAGAGTTAGACGTCGCAGTAGAAGCGGATCTATTTCGGACTACGACCACCTGTCGCCACGAAATGCTTGGGCCCAAACGTCGGCTACTCAATTATTATTCCTACGTCTCTCAATGAGGAATGAAAAGGATGCGTGTGAGTCAATGTGCATTAGTGGGTATTTATCTTCCCAGGACGTTCCCCGCAGCAGACAGTTGTACAACTAGGCGCAGCTGTAGCTGCACTGACTGGTAGCTATTGATGGACGTAAATCGTGAGGGGCCTCAGCTAACAGGACTGAAGTTCTTCGACTGTTTCATCCAACTACTTCTGATCGGACTGTTTCCAACTACTTCTGTGACAAAGTCAGTAACCTCGAAATCCTTGCGTTTGAACCTCGTCACGAGTTCGGAGGCTGAAGCTGCGAACTGTGCTAGATTTGCAGACGCTCTACTTCCATTCACAAGTGATGGCGATCTTGTTCCTCATCCACTGTTCCTCATCCACTGCCACTCCCCCTTCTACAACTGTTCGAGCAGAGGAGCGGTAGAGTTCCTTCTGTTGACTAGAAACTCTGTTTTTTTAGCTGCTCTGCTTCTCGAAGAGGTGTTGCATGTAAGTCAGGAGCTGCTTCATCTCGCTGATGACTGAGAGCGATCATTTGAGACGCACTGATGATGATGTAAGGTCCACTGCCACTCCACCTAGCTACTGAAAGGCCCTACTGAGAAGTCCGATGTCATGGACGCTGTTTCCCATACGAAAACCTTAGGAACAGCGTCCATGACATCGGACTTCTGTTTTCTAGTCCACCTTACCTCCAGAAATATAGAGAGTCGTAGTCCCATATCTTCGGTGTGGAAGAGAAAATGCCAACGCTTCCAGTAGTCCATCCAGTGGACCTGTTCCTGTAGAAAATAATGGGCTGTTACCTCCCGAAAAAAAAATGGGCTCCGACTAGGACTAGTCCATCCAGTGGACCTGTTCCTCTAGAAGGGTCTGGGTCTTCCAAGGTCTTACTTCCTAGCCAATGCTTCTTGATTTGAACCTATCTAGGAACATCAAGAAGGAAAAGTATCCATATCTATCAGCGATTTTTCACAAGTCTACTGCAGACGCAACGAAGATTTTCACTATTCAAGGAAGGGCAGTTGAAATGTCTAGAACTGAAGATGAAAGGTTATTTTGTGATATCTTTATCCAAAATGAACGTCTGGAGAAATGTCTCGCGCTACAACATGCCTAAGAAAGGCCACCCCTTAAAAAAGCAACAAGTGCTTTCGTTGACGCCAGCACGGTCAGTAGATTGGACGTTGCGGCTACGAGCTTCGAAGGTTCTGTACTAAAATATCTTCCATCCGCCCAAAAGTGATCTTCTGTTCCTCCCGTTTCTCCCATACCTTCCTTACGATCCTCGTTTAAAGCTCGGACGAGCGGTTCGGGGACGCTTTTTCCTAGACTTGGAAATTCAAAGAATTGAGAAAACTATTACTACTTGCCCCTTATTTCATGAAGTCTAGATGTAGTCCAACAGCAGACTCTTCAGTTCCGCATCTGTGTGTATCGTCTTTCCTGCTGTTTGGGTGTTGGGATTTGTTGGTGAGAAGGTTTGCTATACTACTTATTGTAGATTGGCCTAATGATGCCAATGCATCAGCAAGTACACCCTGAAGAGAGTACGAATCTGGGTTCATGGGAATAAATACTAGAGGTAGGCTGTTGGTGCTCGCTTACCTCCTTAGGAGAGGCATAACGAACGGTAACAAGAAAAGCACCTTTAACCTACCCTTAAAGATAATACGGATAACTATAAAGGAGGACGCCTTAATAGACCAGATTTCCTATAACTTATATCATTTGGAATTGGAAATAACCAGATGAAAAGGGAAACAAAACGTGAGGGAAACAAAACGTGATAGATAGGTCAAAAATAAAGCTAATGGCCGCGCTTATTAGCATCCGGCTATTCTAGGTGAGAGACGCGTCGATCGGATATTAGAAATTTGGATCTCTTGACAAGGAGCCTTCTCCTAGTCCTTGAGGACGCTTCTTGCTCAGGTCCCCTTGAAAGAGAAGGAGAAGCCAGCTCGTTGAGGGACGCTTCTTGGTGAGGTCCCCTTGAAAGAGAAGGAGAAGCCAGCTCGTTGAGGGACGCTTCTTGGTGAGGTCCCCTTGAAAGAGAGGCCAAGGATGTATGATGTTCACTTAGAAATTTGGAACTCCCGTATGATCACATCTTCCTTGACGAGGAGCCTTCTCCTTGTCCTTGAAAATGAAAAAAATCCGACGCTTCTTTCGTCCAACTTGAAAAATGAATACGATGGCTGGATTAGATTGTAGGCGGTTTAACGTCACAAGCCCCGCAGATAGATAAGCTAAGCAGAAACGCACACGCTATAATGGTGGGGAGGAGGAAGTTTATGGCAGTAGGTCAATACGCTAACCGACGAGGGTGGGGGATGTGGTCCGGGCTCTGGACCATAAGCACCACTTGGAGCCCAGAGTTCCCAGCACGAGGAGTCAAGGTGCCAACCTTAAGTGTCCTCATGATATTTCAACTTCTCTACTTGAGGGCCTCACGCCTTCTTTTTCCTCTTCAAAAAAGAATGATCGAGGCGATCTAGAAGGTCTACTTCTGGCGTTCGTGAAAAACTACAGAGTTAAGAGTAGTTGAAGTTATTCCTGTTTCATGTTTGCTTGCGAAGCTTGTGGTCGTTGCCTTAATGCCAGAAAATGAAGACTCGCCAGTAGTTCTTTGCGCAGCTTGTGCGAAATCCAGGGACTTGAGACATTGCGCAACTGAGACGCCACACGCTTCAGAATTATTGCCACATGCGCTGTGCATGACGATCCTCCCACGACCTCCACCTCTTGATGCGGTTGCAATTATTAGACATTCTTGACGGCTGACGATGATTGCACAATTGCAACGTTTTTCCTAAGAAAAACGTCTAAAAAGGAGCATTTTCTGGTGGTTGTAAATACCTTAATACTTTCTGCTTGGCTTATCTTCTACTTACTCGAAAAAGGCGGCTCAGGGAAGATAGTGACGGGAGAAGATGCAAAAACGTGCTGGTAACCCTTAAAAATGTAAAGAAGCGTCGACGCCGCGTTCCACACCACTTCCACTCCAGTCTTCGCTATAGTTAAGCAGATCCACAAGAAGATCCCACTCGTCCGCCATCACTAGTGGAAAGAGTTGTGCTCTGATTTCCTTAGGAATGGCAGCATTTCTTTATGCAGAAGAAGAAGTCTGCACTTGGTCTTCCGTCTGGAAATCGTTGGCGTCAGCATCTTGCTCGCACTCCTAGTGACGGATGTCATTTTGAGGGTAACTCTCACCCACAGCGCGGCTGAAATTATAAGGAGGTTTCCAAGTCCTCTCGAAAAGCTTCCGCTAAAGAAACCTGACACGCAGACTCCCCTTTTTCCTGCAAGACTAATTTGCAAGACTAATCTGCAGAGGACTTGTAGAAGTGGATCACATAAAAATACTAGAATGAAAGGACTGCGCATCCAAGCCAGCTCCTAGGAGTCCTGAGTCTACTTGTTCCGTCATTTTCAGAAGACGTTGGAGCCTCTACGTGCTCCAGGACGCGACCGATGGAACATGTGCCACTCAACAACGAAATAGAGGACTACGAAATATACAACTAACGTTGAAGTCACGGCTGGAAGCATAACGCTGGAAGCATGAAATGATAGTCTACTACTTGTTCCTTCATCTTCAACGACTAGACGAGCCCTCGCTTCTCTCTTAATTATTATGGTCTATACGAGCCCTGTTGGAAGCATGATACAGTTCAGATTTTCGAGTGTTCTACAGAGTCTATGCATGTTGGCGGGGCCTTAACGTGAAAATGCATGCTGACAGGACCCCTTCTGGAGCTTGTTGGAGTTCTACTATCCTGAACATCTAGAAGAGTGCTCGCGTTGTTGTTGTACTCGTCTGTACTAGGAACTCCATACTCTTGGTCGCTGCTGTTCAGCGGCCCCTTGACATCAGCACCCGTAGTCTGCTCCTCATCACCAGTCTGCTCGATCTGATCAGCAAAAGTCTGCTCGATCTGATGTCTGCTCGATCTGATCAGCAAAAGTCTGCTCGATCTGATGTCTGCTCGATCTGATCAGCAAAAGTCTGCTCGATCTGATCATCACCAGTCTGTCCGTAGTCGATTTTTTCCAGCAAGACAGAGACTTTTTTTTTCGATTTCCAACAAGATTAGGTCTTGCTAAATCAAAAAAAAGGGCCGAAAGGGGCAACGGGAACCCCAAAAGAAATCGCACTGCCGAGACGTCCAAAAGTGGGAATCTCATCAACACCAATGCCAAGAGACTCAACCCCAGCTCCAGGAAAAATGAGCCCGCTTTGTAAAGCCGCATACTTCTCGTTGTAGTATTTGTCTTCATTGCGTATGTTCTCACTGTCTTCCGCGTTGTATTTGGCCTCCTTCTCGATTCGGTCTTTCCCATTCACTGTATACTACTTAAGTGTGTACTTACTCGTTCATCTCATTGTGTTTGTTCTTGTGGGTCATTTCTCGTAGCTGTCGTGGTCCTTGTCCTTGTCCGCCTGCTCAGCTCGTCAAAAAGTTAGACTGACACCTGCATCCTTTGGCACTGGACACTAGTAGTGCATAAATATAATGACCCTTGGTAACTAGTGAAACATGCAGTGACCCTTTGGCTTGCTGGACAGAGTACTTTAACTTTTCAAATTAGGAAAAAAACTTACCAAGTTACTTCTGACAGACTGGTGTTTCTTCACCCCACTAATTTACTAGGAAAATTATAGCACCTAATAATCACATTCGCAGAGCTATCCATGCAGTAGGCCTCTAGTCAGGAATGCTCTTTCCCTCGTTGCCGTAACAAAGGTTGTAGTCGTGCTTCTAGTGTCGCCGCCATCACTTGAGTCACTGCAGGCATTTTCGTCCCATGGGTGATGGTAGAAGTATATTGGTCTCAGTGGCGCTACACCGTTGCTTTCAAACTCCTTTGAGAGTTGTTAGAGGTAGCCAATCTTCACGTTCACTATTGGACGATATTAAGAGTGGTAGCTTGTATAAGTTAATAGAGGTCTTTGCTACTTGTATTGAGAGGAGATAGCGAATCTGCACTATCGGATTGGTAGTTAGAGGAGGTGGTCATTTATTAGAATGAGATTTACCTAGGACGTTTCAAAGTCAGTACTTATAATTTTCATTATTCACTATGTATATTAATCGGATGCAACGGCTGGTAGGTACAACTAAATGACAAATAAGAACAAATAAATACCCAAGTAGAAGAAGTGCGTTGAGTTTTGTAAGAAATGCACAACTACACTTTAACTTAGTTTTGTAGTTGTAAATTAGTGCATGGCAATCATGACTAGCATTTAAGGCACATCCGTAAGCCAACATTTCTAGATACGGACGCAGGAGATTTCGAAAGCGCAAGGCCTCTGCTATGAGAACTAAGGGAAATCCATCTTAAGCAACGCATTGGGCCACGTTTTCCCTCCGAAAACGGGACCAAGAAGCCCGCGGCGATGGATTTCTTGCAGCCTTAACGTTAACGCAGAGCGGAAGGGCCCCTCCAGTTTGGTTACCACACGGCCATTCCCGACACCACCAAAAAATTTCGAAAAAAATGGCTTCTCCTAAAAACATGTAGTCGTGTAGCTGTACCCTAATCGCCCTAAGGATACTAAAGAAGTCGTTAGTTTTTAGAAATGGCCGTGACAATGATAATGGTCGCAGAAAAAACAGACCCGTGCAGCCAGGAGATGGAAAAACTACTACAACAAGAACAGTTGCACCAGTACTAGCTTGATTATCATAAAAGGCCATACCGTTACACGACCAGGGTACTAATACAACTAGATCATAGGGTAATCAAAAGTAATGGTAACAGTGTTGCCACAAGTAGAATCGGGCTAACTGCACCCCGCTGGACCCAACGAGTGAGCAGCAAGGGCTCATCCAGAAACAAGAAGCCTTCGTTTCTATCAACAAGGGCTCAACCCCCAAAAAATTTCGAAAAAAATGGGACCAGAAACAATATATTTATAAGAAGTTGAAACAATAATGGACAAAGGGCCCCTCATCTAACATGCTATGACAGGAAGCCAAGACCCTAGCCTATGCTATGAGAAGAGACCTTGGCCTCATCCTATGCTATGAGAAGAGAGATTGACCTCATTATATTATGCTATAACAGGAAGCCAAGACCTCATCGTATGCTATAACACGAAGCCAAGGCCTCATCACGTTATGCTTTGAGCAGAGGCATCATTTTCATTATATGCTATGACAGGAAGCCAAGACCTCGGCTTGAAGGTTGAAGCATTCAAATTTTTAGAGAGTAATCTTAAGGCAGAAAAGCCTGCAGATATGAAATATCTCAACCCTTAATTATCGTATGCTATGAGAAGCGACCGCATTAGATTATGCTCTGAGAAGAGTATGAGGCCTCGCCATGCTTTGCTATGAGAAGAGCCCTCATCTTCATGCTTTGCTATGAGAAGAGACCTCATCTGCATTATTTGCTATGAGAAGAGCCCTCATCTTCGTTATTTGCTATGAGAAGAGCCCTCATCTTCATTATTTGCCATGCGAAGAGCCCTCATCTTCATTATTTGCCATGCGAAGAGATAGAGACCTCATCCTCATTATAATATGCTCTGAAAGATGGAGTCCACTAATGCTACGACTTATATGCTACTGAACTAGAGTCCTCAACCCTCCGCAATTCTACTAGAAGATCTAGATGTCTCACTACGACTACCGAACGTCTCCTGTAGCAAAGAACTACAGCCACGCCTAGTCCTAGGTGAGGACGACCTTCTTTCATGCTACTTACATAGCGCACGCACTAGGGTGAGCGCATCCGTCAACTTCTAAGCCAGCTGCAACCTCACTCGAGCAAACTGCTTAGGCTTGTCTTCTAAGCCACCTTCAATCTCTTGAACAAGATCTGTTTACGCGTTTGTTTGTAATCCGTCAACTTCTACTAGGCCAGCTTCTAAGTTTGTCTATAATCCGTCTTCTTCTACTACTTGAAAAAATAGAAAAAATGGCAGCACTGAAACTATCACTCTCCGAATTACATGAATTTTGTCCGCGTGATGCACTCGGAGGCCCCCAAAGCGGACCTACAGATGTCTGACAATGAGACTTCGGACTTGGAGATGCAATTCCTAGTCCTACGCTCATAATGCTTCTTGTACTTCTTCTAAACCCGAGGCTCTTGCACTTTTCCTTTTCGGCGCAGCTTCCAGTGAAAAAAACCGCGACAGTTCGGAGGTGGGTGTAGCATCCAAAGTATGACGGCTAAGGAGCTTTCTCATTCTCCCCCGAGAGATGCCCATCTACTTTCTATACGGCCAGCTATGAGGGCTCCCGAAAAGCCAGCAGCGCCTACCCAAGCCAGCGCCACTGGCTTGCGAGGAGTAGTTTACGTGGTCCGGCCCGCCTGCTACCTACCCCTACACCATAACGCAAGAGAGACTCTTGAGCCAGTTCGCAGACGAGCTAAAAGACGGCAAGGCGATCGACTTTACCGAGTGAAAAGAAGCCAATAAAACTTGCCCAGTCACGCGCCCCGAGGTTCTCCGCCAAAGCTGGAGAACTCGTGTCTTGTTCTGCAGCCTCTTCACCCTCTTAATCTCTCTCGGCAAGTCCCTCAGAAAAGTTCCGCACCCGCTTCCCCTCGTCCTACTCCTCTAATTGCTCCTCCTTTCCAAGATGGTCGGCCCACACCTGCCCGCCCTCTCTCTGCTTGCACCCTACACACCCCGCAGAAGCCCTCCACCGCCAGGCGATGCGCGTCGCCTTTCCTTGTTGGGGCAGTCTGCCACCCGCTTCCCCCACGTGCCCCACTCTGTCTCGTGGCTTTTTGTTTTGACACGCCTGCCGCCCCTCCTCGCATTCCCTCAGTGACTTTCTGGGAAGCGCTCTCCCGATCCGACGCCCTGGCACCTCCACAAGCACCTTCCCTACCACGACTGGACCCCTCACGGGATGGGGCAAGGCCCCCGCTGCTCCTGCCATCTCTACCGCCGCCTCTGCCTCATTTCATATTGAGAAAAAAGAAAATGCTCAGCGCGGGTCCTGGTGTTGGCCAGAATTGCACGGCCCGCGCACGTCCACGCTGCTTGGGGTCTCACTCAGCCGAGGCGAGGGAGCTCCCTGTGCTTGGGCGGTTGGCGATGCCTTGTTGCGCCCGGCCTCGCGCCCTGGTCTCCTGCTTCAGGCCGGGCCGCAAGCACGGAGGAATGGGGGCCATACGAAGGTCCCAGGTAGCCTTCTAAAAGCTTCCTAAAGTAGCCTCCTAAAAAAAGCCGTCTGAGGTTCCCCTCTACATAACCTTTCTAAAAATTATCCCGAAGCCCCACCCTTTTAAGAAAGCCGGCGGCGCGTCCCTTCAAAAGGTCCGCGATGCGACAGACATGAAGAGCGAGCGACTTCTTCGCGAAGACGGCCGAAGAAAAACCCCCAAACTTTAGAAGATTTTTGGCAGCTTTTTTAGAAGAGGGCAAATTTTAGAAGGTCTATTTTTAGTGAGTGTTTTCAGAGGCGTAACCCAGCCCGAGACAACACCTTCAGCCCGAGCAACCCCGAAGCGACGCCACCCCACCACCGCAAAAAGAAAAGACCAACGCAAAAAATATCCTAACCGCGGCCAAGGCCCACATCCTTCACCGAGCTCAACCACTTCGGACGGCCTCTGCAACACGACACGACAGAGGGACGAAAGGCGCAGAAACTAAGTACGCACGGGAGACAAAGGCGCGGGACAGGCGCGTCGCGCTGCTCCGAAAGTGCCTCCTTTCTTGGCCAAGTTTTAGCCACAATCTTGACTGGAGGCACCTACAGCCACCTGACAAACGCCAAGAAAAACCAACTCACCTGACCAGCGTCCGCCTGGTACTCACGTCCCCAGCCCAGTGCCTCCTCCCTAATGCCCCAGCCACCGACCCGGCGCTCTTTTTGTTGCGCGGCACGGGTTTGCGCCCAGTGGGGTGCGCCTACAGCTGTTGAGGCTCGCGACCGTCTATCCCTATGCCACAGCCAGTTGGCTGCCCCTTCCAGCCGTGGTCGGTGAACGGTTTTCACAACGAGCGGCGGGGGCGGGCGGCTTAGCTGCTGCGGCATCGGCGTCAGCCAGCTGCTTCCCCCACTCTTCCCCCTAGACCCTCTACCAGTGGGACGCCGCTGCTTGCTTCTCGCATGTAGGCGGGCGCCTCCGTGGTTGTGTCGTTGTTCAGTGAGGCTCCGCACGTGCTCCTCAGCTGCAACGCCTGCCCCGCGCAAGGGCCTCGCCCCTAAATGTCGGCGCCGGTGGGTTGTGTTACTTCCATGCCCGTAGCATGTCAACCGGACCGCCGACACCCCTTTCTTTCGCCCTGCGCCGGCTTGTGTGCGCCAGCGCCTCTGCTTAGAAGGTGCGCCTCGAAGTAAAAGCACCCACCGGGCATCAGGGAAGGCCCTGCAGGCTTCACAAATAGCCTGGCTTGAGGTAATGCTGGCCATCGTCACTTCTCTAATTCGAACACTTGCCATCAAGCCTCGCGGCCTTCGCCGTTCCTCCATGGGAGGGGAGAGTGGGCGGCACTTCTTTTAGGTCACTCGCACTCTCGCTGGACATAAGCCCGCGCAGCATCTTGGATGGCCAATTCGTAGACATTTTTGAAAAAGTCTAGATCTAGTATCCTTTAAAAAAGTATGAATAATATTCTTGTTATTGAAAAAATTCATTGGTAGTTCTTTCATTGAGAACCGGCAATGTCACAAAAAATCTGCATGGGCCTCCGAGTGTCAAGACGAGTGGCGAGCAGAGAAGACCACTCACGACGCTGGCGTAATGCGTTGCAACATCGGCTGAAGTGCGCAGCATCCACGAAGGCCAACACTCTCCCGCGGCCACTTCTAATAGACTATCCCGTGACAACCTCTCAGCCACACCACCCCCCTCGCCCGCCTCAGCGACTCCGATAAATTGACGAAAGCACGCGCGTGTTGACACACCGCAAAAGCGTCCTGGTAGCACTCTCATCAAGCAACTAGATAGGTCAAGATTTTAGCGCAACGGCGTGCGACCTGTATGATGCTCATGGATGCCCGTGCCCTCTCCAAGCGCGACCGCACCAGCACGCACTGGGCTAGACTTAACACACCCGACCCAGCAGACAGAGAGCCTCCTTAGGTGCAGCACGTTGAGACAGAGGCAGGGCGCTAAGCGAAACGCCCCCACTCTCAGGGGCCGCCTGTTTCCAGGCTCTCCTCTGTCGGTTTTGGCGTTGTTGTTTAGCACATCTTGGAAAGCGCGGGCCATCTACCACCATGCCACGACTATAACAGAACAACACTCAGAAGCACCCGCCAGCACTCCGACAAATCGACAGCGCCACAACGCCAGCCAGAAAGCGAAGCCGCAACAAACCAGGCGAAGGCCGCACTCTCTGGGGCTGTCTTTATGTGGCTGCCGATGGCCAGCAGTCATTCCAAAAAAATGAAGCGCCAGAAAGATCGCCGCCATGTTATGACTATAACAGAGCAGCTTATAAGGCTCGGCAGCTCGCATGGCATGGAGTGCATGGACCGCATGGACCTAAAGGGGGAGCTTCTTGCGCGTCTTAAAGCTCTGCGCTCCATGCACTCCACGCGCCACGCATGCTATAAACTACTCTGCTATAATAATACCACGGAACCACAGACGCCAGATCTTCCAATAAGCCCGAGCGGCTAAGACTTGTAGGACTTGTAGGAGCGGGCGGGTCGGTCAGAAAGTCCGTAGACGACCCCTTCCCCGACCCGCGGTTGTGGGGAGCAGCGCCCTGGCTGTGGCGCTTTCAAGTCAGCCGACCCGCGAACGCCTTCAAGGAAGCGCAACCACCCCACCAAGCAAGGCTGCCAACCGACCGACCACGCACCCCGTCTGTCACACCGCGACCCACCCCGCCGCGACCGCCGACTGCACCTGCAAACGCAGCCACCCGACCGACCGACCGACCACCCGACCGGCCGACCAACCGAGCGAGCACTGCGCCGCCCAGCCACTCATCCACCTCCACCAACCGTCCGACCGACCTGCCATCGGGTGACTTGAAGACGCCGCAAGGCGCTCCCGACAAGTGCGGCGCGGGTCAGGCCGAGGTCGACGAGCCACTCTCCGCGCCGACCTTTTTTACAAAGCCTACCGGCCCCAGCTATTTCAGAACCTGCAATATCGACGAGCCTACAAAGACACGGCCAGAAAGTGGAATCATGTAGACTCTGCGGCCCAGCACGGCACATGATCATACTACAGAGCAGCGGGAGACTATAAGGGCCGCGACGCGGCTCCGGCATTGCAGCGCGGGGCGCAGGGATCGGACAGACCTGGATAGGGTGGAGAAATTCCCCCGCCGTCGCGCGCCGGCAGCTTGCGTGCTACATAAACTCCACGCGACCCCATGCGCCCCGCGTGTGGGCGTGCCACTGATAGTAACCCAAGTACTGGGGAACATCACTGGGCGCACGCCGCTTATCTTGGCCCCTAAACAGACAGAAACTCTTCGGCAAGTTGCTAGATTGATGCGCACAATATTCAGGGCAACACTTGGCGACATGTACGCTAGAAGATTTCCTTGCCTATCATTCAGACTCCACGCACCTGCTTACCCCTGTTGCGGATCGAGCTATTTCTTTTGAAAAAATATATCTACATGAATCTCTATCAAAAAAGTTTGATGCTGTTTTTCGACTCGCTTTCACGATCCTGATCTGACCCCGTGCACATGTTTGCGCCGAGTATGAGCAGAACGAGATGCGCGGGCGCATGGGTCGCTTGGTCTGGAGGCGCTCCTGCTCAACCGGTGGGCCCGGTGAGTCTGTGCCCATGCACTCCGTGCGGCCCCATGCACTCCATGCGACATCCGTGCTATGGGCTATTACTCTGCTAGAAATTTAATGAATGCCAGCGCCTTCCTTTTGCTCTTTTCCCTGATGAGTTTTTCACTGATATACAAAATAGCAAAGTGTCCCCTATCAAAAACAAGTAAAGAGGGCGCCAAAAAAGTTGTAACGGATAGTGAAGATCTTACACGCAGAACATGCTCACCGCTAGGGAAGCTGGAAGACAAGTCGAAGGGCCCTCCAGATAGATATAAATAAGCCATCTAACTCTAATCCCGCTACTCTCCTTCTTCAAGCATTTACTCATCAAAAACTTACTGCTGCAATCATCAAAAACGTACTGAAGACACGCATGCTGTCTTGGTGTTTTTCGTGCCGAAGCCTGTGCCCCTTTCAAAAATGACTTCGCCACGGTGCTTATCTCTATTACCTCGCCACCCCGTGCTAACGCAATCATCCGCTGTCTGCAACAAGTATTCCAGTGAGAGACTACCTCTTCGCCCCCCTTCCTTTTAGAAATGATTCGAAGTGTCTTGCTCGGGAGTTTGAAGTATACATCCGAGCAGGAGAACTGCTAAGAACCGGTATACTCTGAGACGGGTCGGACTCTTAGTTACTCGTCAGACAGCCCATCCTCTTGAAAAACGAAAATTCTATATCTATTACGCGCATGGAACTCGCGGCACGCGCAACCGCTCCGCATTCGGTAAGGCATCACACCCACCAATCGTAGCGGAGGGCAAATATGAAATAAAAAAAAGCGCTAGCCCTAATTTTTTGCAAAATACGTAGACGCCGCACCGATTGCGCATGCCCCTACCGGGGAACTGCGTGGCTCTTTAGAGGGGTCGGCCGATGGCCACTCTGGGGAAGACGGCCAAGCGTTCACCCTGTCCACGCCTTTCCCCCAGCAAGAGCAGGAGCCGCCTGCCCGTCTGCCTTTTCAGTGCAGCACCAGCGTCAGAAATGGCGCGAGAGAGCAGGGGCCAGCTGACCGCTGCGGGCCCTACGCTTCCCCTGGGAGATCGCTGGCCCACTCCCTAGCTGCATTAAAAGGCGACAGAAAATCCTTGGGGATTATTTTGAAACGCTCTAACATTTCGCAAGGGGGATAGAAGTGCCCTAATGGGTTTGAAAAGGTGCTGCTTCAAGCGCATTAGAGCTTTTTTCTTCGAAGCCCGCAAAGCTCCAGACTCTAATGAGCCTAAACAATAGGACACTTTTTATAGCAGGACTAGAAAAAACGCTCTAACAATTTAGGCTCAGCACAAGCGCCAGGGCGTTGGGCCCTTATGAATGGGTAGGGTAGAACCTTGCGCGCAGGGCGTAAATAACGAGGCCACGCCGTCGCCGCTTATCTGCATCGCAGCGAAGCCCCACACGAGCAGGGTACTTCAGCAAGCGCATTCCAGCAAGCGCCACAGTGCCACCAGGTGGCACAGACAAGGAGGAGCGCGGGCACCGATATCAGGCGCCAAAAACGCGCGAGGCATTCCAAAGATCTGCGGCCCGTTGAAAGGCGCCACTAGCTTGCGGCAACTCAGGGCACTCACCTAGTTGCGGCATCTATCGAGTTCGCAAATTTCTAGAACTAATGCTTTTTTTTGTGTCATAGCATAGGAGTGGTCCCTGGCCTGAAAAAGATTGCTACAGCTTCCCAAGACCAAATCTCTATCGACTACAAATCCAACGAAAGACGCGAAAAGAAAACAAGCAACCAACCCCGACAAGGGGTCAGCGTTGTAATTCGAGAAAGCCTACGCTTACCGCCAACAACAAGCCCACAAGCGCTTGCAGATCCTGCTCGACCACAGAACCGGAAGAGCCCCCGACCGCTGAGCCGACAATAATTCAAAAAAGACAAGCCCCATGGGGCTTCTCGCTAGCTACATTCTGAGCGCGAAATGTGAAAGAAGCACACGGGCCGGCACATTTCAACTGCCTCCGCATATGCCGATGACAACGGCACGGAGCGAAACAGAGGAACAAAAACAGAAGAGGAGCACGCCCAAGCCGGTCCAACAATGTGGAAAGGCCCCAGCGTGGTGGACCTATGGCCAACAGGTGCGCAGCTGCTGACAAGCGCGCAGCCGCAGACAACACCCCACCGACCGAGGCCACTTGCCCGAGACCTTTAAGAGCTTCACACATGGACCCAACTCACGCCGACCGGCCTCCGGCCCGCTTTCGGGTCACTGACCTGAGGCCCCAAACGAACCCACCAAACAAACCCGAGGACCCCGAAATCTTCCCGCCGAGCTATCGCCGCTGCCCACGCCTGCAAACCATCCCCAAAAGCAACCCCGAAGACCCCGACAGAAAGCCCCCGCAAGCTGTCTGCTTGCCTCCTACGTAATCACCCTGCGGCGTCAAGCTCTCCCCCACTCGTAACCATCACGGCGCCCGACATCGACAAGCCCGCCACTATGAGCCCGCGCCCCGTCTCAAGCGTAAGCAGCCCTGAAGCGGTTGCCGGTGTCCGCCAGAAAAAAAGTCCCTACCTGCCATTGACGCTGCCCGGAAAATTCTGACCAAAGAAATAAAGGCGAAAGCCTGGCACCAGACTCACCCCCCCCCACCCAAGCACGCGCCCCGCCCTAGCTTGGCGAAACGATTGCTCCCCCGCTTCACCCGAAACCGAGCCAGCCCCAACAAGTGCGCGCCTACCGCGTTTCTATCGTAGCACAGCCCTAGCCTTTTGATGATGCAGCCAAGGCCAAGGCCTGGCGCACCCCCCTGCGCCAAACTGACCCAGCCACCGCGTGGCCCCCGTAAGCCTTCAAGGCCGTCGACATCCGCAAAGATAACAAACACCAGCCAAAGCCCTCCAGCCTCCCACACATGGAAGCAGCACCCACCGCCTACGGAAGGGCTGCCCTTTGTTGGAAACGGTCAGCCCAGTTGTTCAGCGGCGTGGCACCGTAGACATTTACGACGCCACCGACAGGCCGCCCGCTTCTTTTAATCCGATCCGCCCCCTTAGCGTCGAAGTCGCTGCGCCCTAGTCTTTCACATAAGGCCCTCCCCTCCTGGTGGGATAGTTTCTGCCTCGCGTGGATCTCCGTTTTTGCTTTGTTCACTATCATGCTGCACTTCGTCCCGTCCTACCTCTTCGAAGATCCTCACCGCCGAGGCCATTTCCTCCGCCGTGTGTCCCGATCTGCTTGCGCCGTCAGCGTAGACAGTGAGACCGAGGGCCCTGCCCTGGTCTCTGTCAGCCCCTCACACGCTTGGACGCTCCAAGGCCACCCCCCTGCGCGGCTGCCTCTCTTCGGGGGCCAAGTTCCCCCCATTTCTTCACCCTCGGCCTCCCCTTGCGCTGGCTACCCTGCCAGCCGCTTCGTGGTTTCTCAGTCGCGGCCGCTGGCCTGGTAACTTCTACCCCCCTCAAGCCTTCCCCCTCTAGTCTTCACGCGATTCCTTCACCCATCGCCAGCGTGTAGATGCTGAAAAGATAGGGGGACACTGGCGCCCCCTGATACACTCCCAAGCCGCTCGCTTTCTCCTCTGCTCGGCATTTTCCCCACTGCAGCACCATCCGCGCCGCCTTGTGTAGGTTCCTCACCCTCTCGACGTATCCCGCTGGTTCGCCTAGCTCCGGCACGATTCTCCACAGCTTTCCCCTTCACGCTCGGCCGAAGGATTTGCCCAAGTCACACGGCGCAAGGGTAAGGTCTGGCGTTTCCTCTGCCTCTATGAGTTCCACGACGTCGAAGGGGTAGCCCCTACGCTCCGCCTAAGCCTGGGCGACATGCTGCACACCGCCGGGCCCTCCCGGTGGTGTCTCCTATGACTCCCCCAAGCTGGCGCCTGTGCGCGTTGCGTGTGACCCTGTAGGCGACCCGCAAGGCGGCGCATGGCCTGTAGTTTATTCCCTGAGCCTTGCCCCCCTTCCTTTTCTTGTACAGCCACGCCACCCGCCCGGTCTGCAATTCTTCAGCCCCGCTCGCTTCGTCTATCTCCTTCAAAACCTTCGCCCAGTTCGCCAGGCCCCGCTTGAAGGCTTCCCAAGTAATTCCGTCCAGCCCCGCCGCTTTCGCGAACCAACTTGGCCAGTTCGATCACTTCCCCACAAGCCTGCCACAGCAAGCCATTGGCGCCCACTCCTTTTAGCTCATTCCCTAGCCTGTCGCCCTTTTTCACCAAGCACCTCCCTGGCCCACCCTGCCCCACCCTTCGCCCCGTTCCAATTTTCGCTGGTGTCTTTGTCCTCTTCTTCGGCGATGTTCCCGGGCTCTGCGATAGATTCTCCCGCGGAAGGCGTCAGCGCTTTCGGCGCCCGTCCTGGCGGTTCCTTTATATTTCCTACCACTGTCCGCCACCCTGGTGCCGCTGTCCTCTGTGCCCTTCGTTCTTGGCTTTCCTGCTCCTCATCGGCTCCCTTGTCCCCTTTTTATGCCGCGCCATTTCAAAGTAGAACAGTTTATAAGGCTGGGGGCCGGTTGGCATGGCACGAATGGAACGGTTGGAACGAATGGCAGGCATCCAATGCGGGCCTTCAATGTGCTCCGCCATTCGTGCCATTCGTGGACCTGTCAGACCTTCGAGAGCGGGGCGCCCTTAGGGCGCCCTGCGCTTTCAGGCGCTACCTCCCCCGCGGCGTTGCCGCTGTCTCCGAATGCTGCGCGCATGCTTTCAGGACCCCACTCGGGCGCCCTGCGACCAATCTGCCAGCACCCTAGGGCGGAGGCCGCACCCTAAATCGCCCGCCTTGTCGCAGCATTCCTCTCGTGGAATTCCGCGGGGGTCATGCAAGTCCACCAGGATTTGCGTGGCCCGCGCGGTAGTTCCAAGGAAGGCGCCAGCCCTCCGACGGTCAGCCGCACTAGGGTCCGCACTCTTTAGAGAGCAGCCAAGTCGGCTTCGTTTCTGGCTAGCTCCCTTACCATTTTCAAAATGGCAGGGGGGCTTTCCGTAGAATTGCAGCCCTTCGCATCCCTATCCCTGTCCGCTTGTGCCAACGCCAACCGCGCCACCCGTGGCACTTTTTGGCTTCGTTGGGTTGTTCCAATCGTGTCATTCGTGCCAGCCGCCATTCGTGTCATAAACTGTTCTATCATAGGGCTGCCTGGCCTGGTATGTCCTGTGTCGTCTGCCTCTTCTGGTCCTGTCCCTCCACCCCACCGCCCTCGCCTCCTTTTCCAGTCCTGCCAGCCACCTCCTCCCGAAAGCCTTCTTCTTGCTTGCGCAGACTGCGGCGCCTGGTCGGGATGTCTTTCATCTTTTGCCTCAGCGTGCTGCCTGTCTCGTTCTTATCTTGTTCCTCCTGTTGCAAAAACAAGCCACCACAGTCCGACTCCAGAGAGGTCCCACCAGAAAGCGCGCTCTTTCAGTTTCTCCCGGTCTGTTTTTTTGGTAGTTTCGTGCCATTTATGACAAGAGCGCAAGAGGCTAACATGCCACAAGAAGCGAACACATGCGAGCAGGGTGGAGAAACATGCGAGAACAATGCACCAACGACGCCAAAAACGCACGAAAGCGCACAGACACACACACACGACGAAGCCCGACGCACTTGCAAGAAACAAAGCGCGCAACACTGCGGCAAGGGGCCAAGCAGCTGGCAGAGGGGACGGCACGAGGGCGCGCCAGTAGGTTAGACACAGCGGCCACCTAAACGAGCCCAGACGCTGCCGCACTGACTTGGCACCCATTGACTCGCCCAGCCTCGTCGGTTCTGTCCTCAGGCGCACAAGACAGCGCTGCCATCCGAGGGCCGGGCTTCGCGCTCCAGATAGTTAGAGGAACTGGGCAACCCGTCTAGACGAGAAGGCCCGCCACTTTCCGGCGTCGCCTCCGCGGCGTGGCTCATCTGAGAGCGAGCGCGCATCCCTTCTTTCACCCTGCTGCATTATAAGGGCGGGACATATCTCACGGGATCGCAGAAGTGGGCAAGCGTCTGCACCTCCCCACGCGGTGCAGCTACTCTAAAAGCGCCCGGGAATCCGCACCAAGGTAGCGGCGGTTGAAGTCAGTGAGTGCGCTGCGCTGGCTAGGTCACAGATAGGTGTCGACACTCTAGCGAGTTTTTAGGTTTTGGAGGAGGAACAAGGATTCTCGTCCCATAAGACCAGACGGCGACCGAGGTCGAAGGACTTCCCTCAAGGGCTTGAACACTACGGCGTAACAATTGACGCAAAGCCCGTCGGCCCCTAGTACCCTTGCGGCCCTGGTCTGGGCCACTGGTCTCAGACCTGCTAAGAGCATGACGACTTCGAGAGATTTAAGGCCTTCGGGGGCTGTTTTTCTTTTCGTTAATCTTAAGAACTACGCCGCACCACTGCTCCCAATGAATCCCCAGAAAGCGTGGCGGCATGGGTATCGTCCTGCTTCTCTTGCCACAAAGGGCCTCCACATCGGTCCAGGGCGTTCTCCCCACGCAAACTCGCGGGGGTCTGGGATTGTGATGCTTCTGATTCAACCTCACCGGAGGAAGCGCGCTCGGGGGCGAAGAGTTCGCCGCAGAGTGTCAAGAGAAGCGAAGATGGCATGCCGGTCCAAATTGCTTCTCCTGGAATGACAATCGCAGCCGTAGATTGAGTCCCTTTACTCAGTTCCTGCAGCACAGTAGAAGCGCCACTGGTGAAGCACCCATTTGCCGAGTGTTGGCTCGAGCGTGTGCTAGTCGATTCAGGGCACCTGTTGATCGAACCGTGGTAGCCATACTGAAATACCTGGAAGTAGGAGGGGCCCTCACTTTCATCCGTGGACGATTCCCGCCAGACCCAGTCCACCAAATGTACGTCTTTAGGATTAACTCGTCGTGGCAGCCACGCGAACCCGTGCACCCAAATTCTGTCTTCTGGTTCTAGTTGTGCACCTCCTTTTCGAGCACTGTCTTGGCTAAATAAAGGAAGTATCATAACTGTCGCGCCCATGCCAACGCCGCGCTTGTCGGTGCGGTCTTGGTGGAGACGTTCCTCTGGGTCAAAAAGCGACCTCGATGCAGTTGCAGCCCGGTGGCCGCTCGTGGTGGGCATTGTGTCGCCAGTGAGCATCATGCCAGAATAAGACGTATCGATTTCCATATGCACCACAGAGTACTGCTTCGACTTCATATCTTCTGTTGTACACGTCTCAGTCAATAAAACCGGGGCCACACCAATCGGAGTGTGACCCCTTGCAAAAATCGTCACTTGTCCATCGGTTTCAGCTGCAACACGGCACGCAGGTGCAACCCACCTCTCTCTCTTCGTTGTAGATTCGTGGTTTTGATAGCAGGGAGTCGGGTAGCGTGTTACCGGTGTGCAAAGCAGCATCAAGTCGATGCCACCGCGCTGATAAAACCAGCGGTCTTGCTCGGCAACTTCTCCCGTCCAACCTCGCAACCCCTTTGGACCTTGTTCGACGCGTCCGCGCATAAGTGAGACAACGGCACCTGTCGACGCTCCTCCCTGGGGAACGAACGTGGTGTCTGACGTCTCTCCCGTGCTTTGGAACATCTTTGGAGCGACGCAGCGCCCACGCGCATGCCCTTCATTTTCAACACCAGGAGTCCCTCCTTGGTTCGTGGCTGAGTCAGTATCGTACTTAGAGAGCGCAAGCACTTCGCCCGCCGGCCAGCATTCCAGACTAGCCTACCAGACGGACAGAGGCTGGGAGCTCATCTGAACGCCCACCAAGGCTGCCACGCTGATGGTGAGACCCGCTGTCCGCCGTAAGCCGAGCGTGGAGTGGGCACATGGATGATTTGAGCTAGGAGTGGGAGGGTGGGAGAAGGAAAGTGACTGGCTAAGGATGAATGGCGCACGTCAAACGGCGAATGGAGAGTGGCGAGATGATGGGAAGGGTGCCCGCGTGACAAAGCGCGGCCCCCGGTGCTTGGAGAAATGAAAGGTCGATGATCTCACTGGCCCACTCGCTCAAGCTTGCGTGCTTAGGCGAAAAGCGTCGCTTTCCTCGAAGGCCATAGTTGAGCTGCTGTAAAAAAAAGGGCATTGCCGATACGCTCTGAGCTGCTCAGCCTTCCAACTGTCCAAATCTGCGACCCACTTCTTCAAGGAGCCAACACCTCGTTCTTGTTTCGCTTGATGACCATAATATGACGGGCAGAGCGCTACTTTTACTCTAGTGGCACGGGCAGAAGCCTGTAAAATGCACCAGCGTCGAATGGCTCAAACTCCGGTCGCGTGCTTCCTCGCCTCAATCGAAGCACCTGCGAAGAGCGCAGGAAACTAACCGGGAAGGCCCTCACATGGGTGCGCCGGGATCATTGGGGCAAGGCGTGGGCAATGCGGTGCGAGCTGGCACACCTCTTAAAGATAAAGCGGGCCGACACACATAAGACAGGCGGCCTGGCCGGCTCTCATAGAGGCTCCCGCGGGGTGTTCGGCTGTGCAAACATGGCGACAAACGTTCCCTCCCCTTGGGTGTCGTGACAGGCGTCTGCGCGCTCGCTTCAGCGGGCAGGCACCACACAAAGGGGGGCCCTGCGGGTGGCTGGTGTCATGTCGGGTGGCGTGGCCCCGCCAGAAAGCACGGGGGCGCCTGCTTGACGGCCTTCGACCGATGCGGGCGCTGAGAATTGCGCTCGGCTTTTTGCAGGTTTCTATTGCGCGTAAGTAGGCCTTCCCTGCTCCCTGCGTAATGTGAGTCTGTCCTCCATATTCGCCTTAAACGTCGCAAGACGCTCATCTGGCGACTGAGTCCAAAACGGCATGTAATCGAGCGCAGGCGGCACGTATCCAATGACCGAAATGAGATCGTCGCCTGTCGCCTCCGCCAGTTTCTGCATATGGACACTTCTGTACGCCTCGACCGGGGGGGATGCAGAAGGCGACCCAAAAGGCCCCGCATGTGTATAGAGCGCCCCCGCATCGTCAACGTCCACATCGGCAAGCTTCCCACTTTCGCAAAGCCTAAAAGCTATGCCCTGCAGCCCCTGCAGGAGCTTACACTCATTCTCCCGGAGGTCTCCAAATCTGACTTCCCTGCCGCCCTTTTCAACATCGCCCCCGACGACGTCGACGTGCTCCAGGCGGAGAGCCCAGCTACGGCCAGACCCGGGGCCCGCACCTGCCGCGGGATGGACTCCATCACTAGTAACACCGCCGGGGGAGGTAAAAGCGGACGAATCTCACGGCCGTCCCTCAAGGAACCGTGGGAGGAGGATCAACTTGCACTCAGCTGAGAACACTGGCGACTTCCTGCCCACATGCAAAGCAACAACCCCCCAGAGGGGCTGGCGTGTATCTTCTACTGGCATGCCTTCCAATCTCTTGCCCCTATGTCAACACCTAAAGAACCAAGCAAGGGCCTCGGCTCAAGTCTAATCCCCGCCCCCCTATGTGCTTACCCAAAGTTATAGACTGCGCAAAGGCCTCAGTCTCCCCAATTCAACTCAAAGCACTCAACCCCCTGCGAAATTCTTAAGCGAAACCAGGCAGACACATCCCCAGCCAACGAACCCGGTCAGCATTTGGCTAAAATTTTCGAGCTTTGAGAAAACCACGACCGACAGACACCACAACACACCCGCGCCGGCTGATCTGGCTGCCGGGCAACAACCGACCCGACACAAAAGACCCAAGAAAGACCTCACCGAGCGAACCCAGGCCACCGCAATGCAATAGCAGGCGCCCGCGACTCTAACGCATGCACCTGGGCCGGCCTCCGGCAGGCGGCCCCACACACTTCGAGGCAGACGCCTCAGGGAAAGGCTCGACACAAAGAGCCGACACCACACCAGCCCGCGAGGCTCACCAGCGCGGGCGTTAAGGTTAAGGCCACACTTCGAGGGGCCAACGAACTGCGACCCCAGCGCCCCCGCCAGAATCACGCGACCCAACCCACGCGACCCCACTGGCGTGGGCGTTACAGCCCCACCCCGAGCAGGCGCTGCTCGATGCGGGGGCTCGCCCTCAACGTACACACGCGCACCACCCAGCCAACCCCGCGGAGCTTGTACGAGCACCACGCCACACTTCGAGGCCTGCCAGCGGAATGCGGCGGGCGCGTCAGATGCGCCACAGCCTGCGCCACGACTGCGCGGCCCGACGTCAATGCCGAAAGCTTCATCATCATCAGCTTCCTTAGTGTTGTTGTTGTTGTTGCGGCCTCCCCCGTTCTTGCATGGAATCACTTCCACGTCTCCGAGCTCATCTCCGCCAGTGTTGACGTTGTCGCTCCTGCCAGACATGAAGTCTCGCATGAAGTCCTCTTCAGCCTCAGAGGGCGACTCCTCACACTTCTTTCTTCTTACTACCACCTAGCGGCGAAAATTCATCATCATCATCATGGATGCCATCACGTGCATAGCGCTTCGCTTGTTCGATGGCGTTCTTCTCGGCTTGTTGAACGCGTCGAAGCTCATGCAAGACACTAGATGTAGCGACGAGGCAGAAGAGGGAGCGCTCGTCGTTCTCGCGGAGTTTCAGCTTCGCCCTAAAGTCATCGATGTAGCTTTCCGGTGTGTAGTTTTTGACCATCGTCTTCAGTGGCTCCACGATCTTCGCGCCCACTGTCGTCGCGCTCAGCTGCGTGGTGGACTCTCGACGCTCTGCAAGGCACTCGAGGAAAGCCTCTCGGCGGCGGGTGGTGGGCTTAGCCGGTTTCTTACAAGCCAACTTCGACCGGAGGGTATTGGTTTCTTTTTCGTAGGTATTATCAAAGTCCTCAGCTTTGTTGTTTTGCGGGTTGCGGCGTGCCTTGTTCTTGGTGAGGTTCTCGATGGTGTCAGTGTAGGCCTTATGTAGTAGGTCATCGCAGGCTTCAGCTTCTTGCTTCAGCTGCTTGGCCTTGAAGTTCTTCCGCGCTTCTTCATTCTTCTGCGCCTTAGTGCGTGGGGAGATGTCAGCTTCCTCATTCTTCTTGCGGTTTTTGATGTTCTCCTTCACGTCAGCCACCACACTACCGAGCACTCGCGTCAGAGGACTGCGCTGCGGTTGGTATTGTTGGGTGTGCTTACTGGTGGCTGACCGTAGGCCCTGTTGGCCGATACTAGAAGCCTTCATGGTAGGAGCAGTAGCGGCGTCCCTCTTATTCGATCCGCCCTCGCCACGACTAGAGATTTTATGATAGTGGTACTCGTTGACGTTATTGCTAGAAGTCGAACCTGTCATAGTATTGCTGGCGATGCTATGCCCACTAATGCTACTGCTGTCGCCAGTCGCCATGGTCTGTCCACTTTGGTTCCCTTGTGCTTGCTTCTTCTCCAGGCTCTCCAGTCTGTTTGAGACGCTGAAGATGCGGCTCTGGATTTCTTGACCGAACTTACCCAGCTTATCTCCGACAGCAGAAGTTAGGCATTCCTTCAGATCGGAGCTCTGCTGTGCCAGTTGCTTTTCATGGTCAGCAGTAGACTTTGGCTCCGACAGGTCCAGCTTAGTGGGTAGTTGTTTCATCTTCTCATAGATGTAGGTAGCGCGCGCAGTGTCCGTGATGCGGAGGCAGATCTCCTGGATATGCATTGCTCCGCCAGAGTGGCAGACTATCAGACTACACGTCGGCGCACCACCTGGACCACCATCGTCGAGCAGTTTTCTGGTCACTGCTTTCGGGAAGTAGAAGTCCTTAGTCGGGTAGTTGGCTGCCTTCATGAGGTCGTGCTCTCCACATGTCTCCGCCAGGTCCTTCATGGTGCTGCTAATGACCATCGGAAAGATGTCCTCCTCCTCCTCTTGGGCCTGCTTTGTCATCACAGCAGGCACATGCCCACGTGACTTTTTAGCTGTAGTCATCGCGTTGCTGCCTGGTCCACTACCACTAGAAAGCTGCACGAAGTTACTCTGATGCTGGCCTTGGTTCTGGGCCATTAGATGGCCGCTGTTGTTTTGATTGTTATTGCCCTGGTAGACTTGCACTTGGGTCAGCTGTTGTTGTCCCATTGGATTAGCATTCGCACCGGTTGCGTGGTTCATTAGGTGCGCTTGCTGGTGGACCTGCCCATGATGTTGCTGCTGCTGTTGGCCTCCTTGCGTCTGCATTCGCATTCCCCCCTGTGGTTGCTGTTGTTGTTGGTTCGTCCCCATCGGCAGTCTCGGCGCATGTCCATTGTTCACGTTGAAGGTGCCGACGTGGGTGCTGGTCAGATAGGAGGCGCACGGGTAGCAGCTAGCATTCTCGATCTGGTTGTTACGGCGTAGCCAAGAGCTCATGCTCAACAGATCAGCAAGCTGGTGGCTGTGCTGGCAGCTGTCACCTTGTGGGCAGATCCTGCCCTGTGCTGCATCACGGCAGCTTTTTACATATTGCGTCGACGTAGTTGCTCTTCTAATAGCGGGCTGCAGCGCGTGGCTGTTACTTGTGGCCTTAGTGGTAGTACTGGCGGAATTGGTAGCACCGGTGGGACAGGTAGGGCTGGTAGTTTTACTGGTAGAGCTGGTCGATCTGGTGTGGTAGTACTGGCAACATTGGCAGCACTGGCAAGACGTGTAGAACAGGTAGACTCACTGGTAGAACTGGTAGCGTGTGTAGTATGTAGCTGCAAGCTGTCAGACGTGTATCTACCCGCGTGCAAGGTCAATACAGCCTAAATAATCAACGACCAGAAAGCCGAAAACAAGGCCCATTATTTTTACGCCTCGATTGGATAAAAGTAGCTCCAGTCCTCTGCTGCCGAAAGGAATTTGTCATGGTTATCGCCGTCATATGAATACCATGGAGGAGCTTTCGAGAGGTGCGCGCAAATGTCAGGCATAATATGAAACAAACTTTTTACACAAAGGGGAAAGCCAATCGATAAGCATTACACAGGTAACAAAATGGCTGATCCTTACTCACTTAGATAGCCACCGCCAGCCACGTAGAATCCATATAGTCAGACTCATAATATCCACCACCAGCCATAATTTACGCGAGTAGTCAAAACCAAAGGAAAGCGAAAGTATCTACTTATATATAAAAGTAGTAATAAACACGACCACCACCATCCACAAGTAATAAAGATGAAAATAAATAAAATAAAAACACAAACAAGAAAGATGAAATTGAAAATACAAGTACACCACGTGGGAAGAACATGGCAGGCTTCACTATGGGCGCGCAGTGCGGAAGTCGTTCTATATTCACTCACTTATCTACTCCACCACCAGCCAGAAGCAGAGTCGTACGGTCAAAGCATGACGCTAAATACTCACATAACCCACCACCAGCCACGTAACAAGTTAGCCAGATAGATCAAGAACGAGGGCAAATAGATCTTGAATTCGTCTTATTCTCAGACTGAAGCCCTTCGCTCTCACCTTGGAACTCATCGCTTTCACAACAAAGTTGAAACTTAGTAACGTCATCAGTCCCAGCACCACGCCACCACTTTTGACATTTCATAGCCATAAGGCAACACCCTAGGACACGAGCAAGACGACCGAAAATACATGGATACTTTTTCGAACAGTATAACTCACGGAACCTTTTCCAATCGCCAAATATTAAGAGCAATAAAACTTTGCAAACACATCCCTTCCGAAGCCTCAACCTCCAACACCCTAACCCAAAACCTCCAACACCCGAACCCAAAACCTCAGACACAAAAACAAACAAACCCCAAACCCCAAACCCATGAACCCATGAACCCACGAAACCAGGAAACCACGAAGCCACGGGGTTGAACTTCGGGGGCAAGGGCTTAAAGTCAAAAATTTTAGGATCTTAACGCTCCAAACTCACGAGACTCAATCTCAAAACGACGACAAAACGTGGAAAATTTTCGAAATTTGAAAAACGCGAATCCAAGGAATTAAATTCCAAGGAAAGGGCTTAAAGTCAAAAGTTTTAGGATCTTAGTTCTTCAAAATCAAAGGACTCACTCGCAAAATGACGAAAAAGGTGGAAAACTTTCGAAATTTGAAAAACGCGACGCCAAGAGACCGAACCCCAGGGAAAGGGTTTAAAATATTTCTGAAATTTGAAAAAACGCGAATCCAAGGAATTAAATTCGAGAGAAAGGGCTTAAAATCAAAAATTTTGCGATCTTAGCACCTCAAACGCACGGAATTCAACCCGAAAACAGCGGCAAAATGTGGAATGTTTTCGAATTTTGAAAAATGCAAATCCAAGAAATTGAATTCCAGGAAGAGGGCCTAAAATCAAAAATCTTGGGAGTTTAGCGCTTCAAACGCACAAAATTCAATCCCAAAACGACAGCAAAACGTGGAGAATTTTCGAAATTTGAAGAATGCAAATCCAAGAAGTTGAATTCCAGCGGAAGGGCTTAAAGTCCAAAAGCTTTGGGGTCTTAGCGCTTGACTTCAAACGCACGAGACCCAATCCGCAAACGATGGCAAAACGTGGAAAATTTTCGAAATTTGGCAACGCATATCGCTCACGTCTTTGCCTTGCTTATTTTCTTACTTTGGGGAGGAGGAGGATCCTAGTGGGAGGGACGGATGTCATCGGACGCTCCCAGCTAGTAAGAAAAGCAATAAAAAAAAGCCCGAAGCTGATGACGCGCGGCCGGCTCATCCCGCGGAAAATGTCTGGGGCGTGCAAGGGGTAAAAAGCAGAGGGGGAAGGGGGGCCACTCGTGGGACCAGTCTGGCCTTCACTCTCATGGGGCAATCTCTCTAAGCCAAATACTCTCGCGCTGTGATGTACACACGCGAGGACGGCTTCGCCCACTTCTCTCGCATCCTTGACTTGACTTGATGCGCCCACCGATCGGGTGGGGCGGGATTCCATCTATCCCCTGTCTCCATAATCCTCAAGAGGGTGCCCCTCTTCAAAGGATTAAAAGGCCCCAACTCGTCTCGACCCCGCAAAGAGGGCGCGGAACTCCAACCGCCAACCCTCCGGGGGACCCCAGGAAAGTGCGGCGCCTGCCTCTGGCGCCCGCCTTCTCAACCTTCCCCATCAGGGGGCCTCCCCTTAAGCGGCCCCTTCATTTCAGCCCTTCTGGCCTCATTTCACCCAGCCCTTTGCTTCCTTTGGCTGGGCTTGCCCTCCTCTACTTGGCTGCCCTTGGCCATGGGTCTACACCCTTTGGCCCCCTTTTTCACTCCGCGGCATTTCGGCTCCGCGCCTGCGCGCTTGCCTGCTCTTGCACTTGCAGCCTGCACACCTTCCCCCCGCTCTCCCTTGCGGGTTTCTTTCGCCTTCTCCTGGCCTGCCCCTTTCTTTCCCTTTCGTTCAACCCTGCCCCCACTCTCCGGGTCAGGTCGTCCCAACACTTTGCGCCTTGTGCCCTTTTCACTGTGGGCCACTTTGCGCTCCTGTTGCCGGCCCCTTTTCGCTGTTGGCAACCTCTTCCCTTTTTCTCCTCCCTGCGTTTCTCCACCTCCTTCCCCGTCCTCACCCGGTTGGCCCTTACGCCCTGCACTTGTCCCCCTTCTGGCCCTCCTTCTTCGCCCGGGGCTGCCCCTCTCCTTCTCCGCTTTACTCCCTCCGCATCTTCTTCCATGCTCTTCCCTCTTTTCCTCTTCTTGTTTTTCTCAGCCCCTTCGCTGACCGATCCGCCCCGCCTCCTCTTCTTCTTTTCTCCCTCCTGGCTCTTTTCCTCGCTCCCTTCCCTTTCTCGCCTCCTTGTTTTCGCCTGCACCTGCCCCACCTGTTTGCCCCTCTTTCTCCTCTTCTGCTCAAGTTTGCGCCCCTCTTCCTCTTCGTCTTTTTCGTCTCTTTTTCGTTTCCGCTCCATCTTCTCTCCTTCCTGTTTCCTCCCTTTTTCTCTTCTTTTCTCCTCTTCTTCCTCTTTGGCACGTTTGTGATCTGCCCACAGTTCCCCACCCTCTATCTTTTTGCACCCTTCACACCACTGGGCCCCCGGCTCCTCCGGCCAGCGGCATGCTTTCACCTTAAAGGGACACGCGTGAACCTTCGCGACCGGGTCCCACCTTAGCCGCTTGACTCCGTGGAGAACCTCCCACCGCTTCTCGTCCTTCCTGATCCTTTTCGCACCTTTCAGCCAATTGGCATGCGCCTCACTCATGCCATAACTGATCTGACACGTCCCACGCCTTCTAATGTCTGACGCGCTGCCCCTGCAGCTCTTCACCTGCCAGAGGCAGGGCACCTCGCAGCGCTCTCCCTCCTCCTCCTCCTCCTGCACCTCCATGCAGAAGATGGAATCTCTGGCGAGGTCCCTCACCTCCTCCGCCTCCCCTCGGTCATGCGCATAGATTCCAGCCCCCTGCCATGGCCAAGCGTCCACTTCTATTGCTTCCGCCACAGCGGTCTCGATCTCCTCGGCCGTGGCCCCTGTTCCCTCGAGGTACAACTCCCGAAACATCTTGCGCATCTCGTTGCTCGCCCTTCCTCCTTCTCCTTCCCCTGGCTCACCCCCTTCGCCCCTCTTCACGTCCTTCCACTCCTCTAGCTTCTTTCGCGCTGCCTTTTCCCTACACACCTCTGGGCCTCCTTCTTTCTTGCTTTTCACTGTCTTAACCCAGTGCCCTACAAGTCCCCGCGGCCCCTTGAGGCCTTCTCTGCCACAATGTTCGCACATTGTCCAGTCCCGTGCCTCCTTCTCCCCTCTCCTGGTGTCATGCAGCACCCTCATCGCCGCATTCCAGAGCTCCTTCCAATGTATCGACTGCGGGCACCTGCACAACATTTCTCCCACATTTCTTGTCTTCAACCTCTTCACCCAGGTTTTAGCCCCCGGCTCCTTGTCGAGCTTCTCCTCGTCCCCGAGGATTTCCTGAATCCTCTGTAGTTCCTCCATTCCCTTCGTACCCCCCGGGCCGCTCCCACGAAGGTTCGCCGTCACTCTCTGCCTGAACTTCTCCCATATCTGTTCCTCCGTGTTGTCTCTCTCCTTCAGTTTTACCCTCCTCGCGGGCATGACATTTGGCCCCCTGTTTGCCTTCAACTCTACGCCGCTGCCTAGGCATCTCCCCCACTTCTCCTCCCTGTAGCGGTCGACCACCGCGAGAAGCCGCAAGCGCTCCCACTTGCTTCGCACCGTCGGCGTCGGGGCACGTCTGTCCACCTCCTCCTGTTTCATTCGTATGCCCTCCTCCGCCTGCCTATAGGCCTCGGCCATTCGCTCTTTGCTTCGGTCTTTCCCTAGCTCCTTTTTCCTCTTTGCCCAGGCCTCGCCTATGCGCCTTTCGTCTCCTGGCGCTGCCACCATACGCAACAGCTTGGCCTGGAGCTGCTGCATCTGCTCTATGTCATGGTCAGACAGCTTCGACGTGTCCAAACCGTAGAGCAGCACCGTGTCTACCAGTGCCTCTACTAACGTCTTGCGATCTATCCGATCTATGTCCTCATCTCTCAAAAGTGGGCCAATCACCCGCCCTATTTTTCTCGCCTTATTCAGCCGCTCGGAGACCTCCGGTTGGGTCACCCCATATATATTCACGACATCACCGACCAGCTTCCCACTTCTTTTTATGAGGTCCGCCCCCCCTGAAGCGTACTGCACATTGCCAAGTCTCTCATTTAGCGCCCGCCTCTCTTCAGTTGTCAGCTTTTCCCTCGTGAACCAATTAAGAGCACACAGCTAAGACATCTAAAATGGGGATGCGTCCCTAGTGGCAACACTACCTAGAAAGGCGCGTATCTCGCGTCTTTTAAAATATGGATAATTCCGGTACAAATATTCGATGGTGACAAATGTAGCGCAAAGGCATCTATAAAGGTTTCTCGTCGACAAATGTCGCAAATAAATGCACTTTCGGACTGTGGCTGGTCTGACCAATACACAATCAACACAAATGAGAAGCCAAACGCTATACGCGGATGACCTTGAGCACAATCCTGAATCTTGAAAGTCTTGTGGCAAATCGGCCGTGAATCATGTGTGCCGGGCAAAGAAAACAATGCTTATGAAAGACGGGCCAATTTGCCTTGATTTATGTAATCATGTAAACACGAGGCCATATCCAAATGTGTATTTTCATTGTTGTGCTCCGTCTTATCCGAAAGATATTAAATGAGTCAAGTGTCGATCTTTGAATCGTGTTAACTTGTCGAGCGAATAGGTGAGAGATCAAACGCGATTCCCATATGCGATCAAACGAATGCGACTCATTGAAGCGATCTCGAACCTTCTTTGTTCGATAAGATAGCGACTATTTGTATAGCTTTTTTTTTCAGTAGGTCCTTCTTCAATAAAGATCCGGAACTTCTGTTTCAGATCTTGAAAACATTTTTTTTGTAATGCTCTTTTGCACCCTTTTGGAATGGGGCGATCTTTTCGCTCTCTTCTGAGCTATCTAGTCTTAGCAGATTCGCACTCTCCGATCTCTAGGACGATCTCCTCTAGAGTGTGATCTTGATGCGGTCTGTCGTAGATCTAGATATGTCTCTCGTACGTGCTTGATATGGCCTTATCACGCCGTAAGATTAATTAGGTCTCGAAATATATGACGAAATCATACCTATTTCGAGTAAAGTGAAAGGGTTTTGATTGTTTACGATTGTCAGTATGTTGGCAAGCCCCCCCTGTAATACGCGAATTAGTCGTCTCTATCAAGATAGATTAGATTAGTCGCGGATTGCCTATATTCCGCTGTAGTTCGGCCGGAGAGTCTGGGCCTTGAGGAGCGATTCCAAACAATAGTCTGCTAAAGACTATGCTTGGGGAACTACCAGTGAATGTATAGTCTCAGCGCCTCTCTTTGTCAACATACTTGGCCATTAGTTAATTGAGCGGACTGTTGGTGGTAAGTATGGATATGTATACGGAATTGTTAACATGAGTCAGTTCGTCCCTGTCCCCCCCCTGTGTTATAGATATGCTGCTCTTCGAAAGTCCCTCAACTTCTTCCGAGACTCATCGCCAGTGTTGGGTCCAGAGGGTCGCTGCATCATCCAAGAGTAGGCAGCCCTCCTCCCGCCATGAGTGAGTGAAGCTCAGACTGGCACGCAATCCCATAGCATCTCCGTGAAGTGATGCAATTGGAAGGAACCAGCCTGACCAAGTCGCCGGACGTAGGATGAGCACCAGCTTCCGCGTGTATCCTGTGTGCTTGATGAGGGCAACAGGAGTCCAGCGAAAGTCAATGGCAGCCCGTCGACACACTCCGAAGTGTCTGTCCCGTACTGTCTCGAAGGCTTGACGTCCCACGAGGGCCAAGAGCACGACGTAGCGCCAAAACTTGACGAGGACTGGAGAGTGCTCTTGGAACAAGGAGATGCTTGCGCCGCGACGAATAAGGAGCAGCGCGCACGTGACCGTCGACACCTTGGTCGTCCTGATGGATTCCAAAGTCTAGCATCTCCTCACTCGGCGATATGTGTCGCCCCTGATTGTTGGGCCCATACCCCTGCACACTATTGGCGCCTCGATCTATCACAGTCCGAGTCATCCGGGTCCTCCGACATTCCGACGCAAGCTTGCGCTAGACTCGGGTAAGGTAGGCCGTAATAACTACCCCAAGTGATGACAATAAGATTTGTGACAAATGGCTCGGGATTGGTCAGAGCACGTCTGCGCCCCCAAAGATTACAGCGGAGCAGGCACTCTGACGCCAGATAGCGCGGCGCGCAAAAAACCCAAGTGAAAACCTTGTGAAGGAAGAGACTCAAGAGTGTCGCCGCACCGAAGTCGCAAAATGACTCGTGGAACTGGAATCCCCGACCCCATAGCTGTGTGAAGACAAACCAAGAAGCAATGGACAGAAGAGAGAAAAGCTGATGGTCAAAAAGGAGAAGCAAGTCCGTAATTGTCAAGAAGATAGAAGGCGGGAAATGCAGAATATGTCGGACGTCTTTTGAAATACTCCCGCAGCTAGCACTAGAGACACAAAAGAGACCATCCAAATAGTCACAGAATGCGTATCCTCGTCCCACATCGTCTTACTTTCTGGTATGTTATATCCTACTTGAATACTCCGAAGTCTAGCAGGAACCTAGAAGCAGTTGGGTCGATTTTTTTTTGTTCTCAATCCTGTATGGTAGATATATATTTTTTGTATTTTTTTGTGTTTTCAATATTTATGTACTGGCGATGCACTTACTTCGTGGAATCTTGCATACAGTCGTGACGGGCGCAACCCCATATCCTACTGCGTTATACACTTTCAGTAGCGCACCAACAAACAGTAGAAGGCTTACGCCGGCCCATCCAGGTCAGAGCGACGTAGATTTCTTTTCGACTATGCCATGACTCTCTGGAAGTAGCGCATCAATGGTGCAATTGATTTTGATATTACTTTGTGAAAGGCAAATCAGGCGCAGCACGATTGACAGGCCATTCCATTCCCAAGGATGTCAGAAGAACACGATAGAGAATTAGCAGAACTGTCTGTGTGGCGAGACCAGTTCTCTATGAACGAAAGATCAAAACCATGCTAGCTGCGGCGCGGCTCCTCCTGGAGACACAGGCAGCGTGGAACTACTAGAAATGTAGGTATTGTACTGCTATAGATTTACTATCCTTGCTGCGCCTGCTGACAAGGCAGAACTAACGCAGTGCTATAATACAAATATAACCCCGCACGCCTAAAATTCTAGGAAGTGTCTGCTTACGCTGTAAAGATATATATACTGCCACTGTAAATATACTTTGCCCTCTTTATAATTACCCCCTAGCTAGGAGTCTCATTATCTTCAGCACCCACCCTATCGCAATCAATAGAGAGAGTCTGGCGGTCGAAATTTCGTCGCGTCGTTCGAAGTCGAAGGCGCAGGCCGGGAACGTGGAAAAAATGCCGTTTCTCATACGGCATTCGGATTCGTCCGGTATCGCTTTTGGCGCTCTTCTCGAAGTGTGTCACTGCTGCTTTATTCGCAGCAAAGTAGTCAATTGCGAAACCCGTTTTGTCCGGGCAGCGGAAAGTCCAAGTGCTATCCCCTTGGGTGACGCACGCTGCCGCCCGTCCAAGTAGACTATCTTGAAGGGACTTTGTCTCACGTTTGCTACAAGACGGCGCCTCACGATCGTTACGTCTATGCAGACAGACATGACATCGCGACAAAAGTCGACTAAAATCTCCAAAGGCTATGGAAGAAACGGTAGTATCAAACCACTGACCAAGCGCCTTGTCAAAGGCTTGAGCAACGTCAAATCGGCGCAGCTCCTCCGAAGAGTTGACGCCGTAGATGTTGGCGATGCGCGCCGTAACTCCAAACAAATCGAACTCGAGCACTGCAGACCGGCCTTCACGATCTGCAAAACCCAAGATACCTCCCGACGTTGGGATGTTGCTGTAGTCCAACTGGTCGCCCCAATAACGATGTCGAAAATCGCGGCGGACAAAGGTTGCAAGGCTGCTGTAGCCGACGCGCGTAGTTGAATTGCGAAAATAGATGGCACACTTCGACCCCAAACGCTCTTCGAGTAGTTTCCGAGACTTCGTTTCTGTGGTTGCTGAAAGCTTGGCTTACTGGATAAAAACGAAATGCGGCGAAGTATCAAATACCGAGTAGAAGTCTTGCAGTCTTTTAGAATCCTCGAAGGTCGCTGCGAGTCCGTTTTGACGGCACTAAGCGAGTCCGTAGGTGTCGGGAGACTACGATCGACTCCGGTACGGAATGCTGCAAGAATACGCGCATACTGACCTTGCGGGAATACTTCGAGCTCCTCAAGCTCTACTACACGTTTCGCCAGTTCTCGTCGGGTCAGGCATTTCGAAAGGTACACGATGATCGCGCCATGAGACAACTCGACCAGGCGGATCATTCTGATGCTTTGCGGATTACCTAGTTTGTGTGGTGCTCCTGACAAAAGTTGTATCGACGCACTATTAGCGCCTCGGTGTGTTACAACAAAAAGTCGCGGGAGCATGCGGCTCTCGAATTTGCCCTTCTTGGCACGAAGTCGAACCACTATAGACCCCATCTGAGTGCGCAAGTCATCTTTTGCAGCTTCGCGACGGAGTCCCTTACGATGGTTTCGGAGTCGGTTTGCATAGTAAATCGAGTCGACCTGTCTTCGTCGACGAACTGCTAGTGAGGCCTCGCCTGCAAGCGTCTGCGACGGTGACGATTCAAAAACCTCCTCCCTTGTGGTGATGAAGTTGGAGCCGGTATGGCGCTCAAGAGTCGACGCTCCATCAAGAGAAGGCAATGGGCTGCGAGCAAGTGCTAGAGAAGCGCGATGAGCAAACTCATGCCAATTAATAGGAAGCAAAGCAGTTTCCTCCTCCTGAGGGTCGTCAAGGTCTTTGCCTTTCTTCTTTGAACGCGCGGTGAGGGAAAAATCAGCAAACAGATCGTCCTCAACCGCGTCGACAGACTCATCCTCCTGGCATCCAAGTTCTACTTCTGCTTCGGATTCTTGTAACGAGATGTCGCTCTGATGAACTTCTTCTGAGTTGTTAACTGCTGTCTTCTGGAATAGAGTCGGGCTCAATCCGATGAGTGCCGACAAGTATTTTATATCCCTTAGGCAACTTCTTGACTTGGAGATGTCCTGAGTCTGGATCTCGTTTGAGATGAGCCTTGAATTCCGACTGGAGGTGAAAAATCCGGATCAGGAAGTTCAAAAGAGCACGCGGATGCTCCACAATCCAACTCCCGGACGCAAGGTAGTGCGGCGAATGCCACGCGCCGACCGTGTGACTGGGGGCAACCTTGGAGACCAGCGAGTTCAAGGCGTCAAGAAATTTCCTCAAAAAGTGCGATCCGTTATCGCACCTGATAAACGAATAAAGTTGGAACGTAGAAAGCATGACGCTAAATGTCTCCCGCGCTGCTGTATCTGCAGTTGAGTCACGGGTCGGCACTGCCCAAGTGAGGTTGCTCCGGCCATCTGTGGCCGTGAAGATAGAGGCGCACTCTGACCCTCGAACCGCACCAAAACTACTCGATCCAAGATTGGCGACGAAGTCGACAAGCAGCGCCGTGCCTCGGTGTTTGTAGTGTACATCTCCAAACGGGGCTGCGTCTGGATGTCGTAGTGAAATGCAGCTGGTGACATCGAGCAGGTAAGGCACGCCTCGACTACTCGCGCGCAAAGGGTGGAAAGATCCGTAGTAAAGAATCCTCTGCGCATTACTAAGCAGCGCAAAACGCCGCGGCTAGAGTGCGCATCATCATGAATGTGTGTGACCACTGCTACTGCAATCGATGCGCGGGCGTACTCTTTACCTTCATGCTCCAGTGGGTCTGCCTCAAGAAGAGTGGTAAGGAGGAATCTGCATTCACCTGCCACTCGCTGTTGCAATGCTCCTGCGTAAATGCGATAGCGATCCGATTCCTCAAGGAAGGCCATCGCTTTCCGTTTCGCAACCGATTTTCCTTTTTTCTGGCAAGCACTGACTACATGCGCAATGGCTGCGTCAGAAGAGTCCGGATGTCGGGTCTGCGCTTCAAGTGCTGCAAACCGTGCAAAGAGCTGAGACTTCTGTGCTGCTGCAAGCCGAGCGAGAAAGTTGGTTGGTATCGAAAGGAAGTCGACGGGTTTTCGGCAGAAAATCAAATAGATTGCTTCTTTTGTCCGTGTTTCTAGAAAGTCATCCCCCACTATCTGGAAAAAGTGTGGTCCTCCATGTCGCCGGATACGGTATTTCCGCTTACGGGGGCGCTCCTTAAAGTTGGGCTCAGCTACAGGGGGTCCGCCGAACGGGTCGCCATCCGTAGGCGTATGGCTCTGATCAGCGTCACCTGCATACTCGAAGCCCTCTTGTAGCAGGCCTCCGTCTAGAGGTGTATAGCTCGACTCTCCATCTGATACAGATGCCCGCTTCTCCTTGGCAGAGATGAAATAAAACCTACAGGCGCCTTCACACTTGTAGGACTCCGCATCCCCTGTGCCAATAAGTGCGTGAATTGTGGTCCACGAATGTCCAAGATCTCCGGGATGAAATGATTTGTCGAACTTTTCTGCTACCTCGAAGAAAGAACCATCCACGTTGGAATCGTCATGAAAAACGTGGCCCCCCTCTAACAAGGTGCCAAGCTTCTCAAACAGCAGTTTAGAATCGGTCTCAATTCCACCTGGAAGTAACATGTCTGGGATGTCGCATGGAGGTCCCGGCGGTGGCCCCACCTCAGGAACATCTACTGCAAGACTGCACCCACATCTGAACTGTATGTATGCATCGCATTCATATAGTCGAACCGCTGCTGGACGGAGCGGCTTCTGTGGGTCATGTAGCTTTGCCTTCTTCGGCAAATAAGATGGCCACGAGTGCCAGACGTCCGCCTTGCGCGTCGTCTCTCGGCTCGGAAGCGCTTGGAACTCGCGCCATGAATGTTCCTTAGGATGTCCAAGGAAGTGCCCAAACATCTTGAGGACAATCTCATAGGCACGGCCCGCTGGGCACGGCCAATCATCCCTAAAACGCAACCACCTTGAGCCTGAAGGAGGCAAAAGAGAAGCGTCCGGGACTGTGATAACCAAACTATCACCCCGCTCATCCGTCTTTCTTCTAACATGTAGTGAAAACCGTACACAAGGTAGTCGAATCTTGTTCACTGTGTTAGGTGTTGGTGCTGCTGGGAGTAGCTTCGCTTCCTTTGCCGCGCTGTCTTCGTCAGCTATGTCGCCTTCTTCTAATTGCGAGTTTGAAGCAAAGGCGGCAGGCGCCATCGGGATCGCAGACTTCTCTGGTGGCCTTGAACAGATGAGACACTGTGAGAAAGATTCGCCCACTTCGCGCCACTTCTGGATGCACTCGCGATAGCTTTCCCAGTCACCTCCTGCGAGGGTGCAGCCAATTCGGGCGGGAAAAACAGCAATCACCTCCCTATCATCTGTCTTTCCGTGTGCCTTCACTAGATCACTGAGTCTAGTCAAGGAGGTTTTGAAGTGCTGAAGACGGCGAAGGGGGTCGCCAAACCCTTGCACCGCTTTGCCAGGATAATGCTGTCCGGCAAGTCCAGCGACACCAAATTTCTCGCCCTCAGGGTCCCATCTCAAATAGCAACTCCCTAATATTCTTTTCGGGCCGTCGCTATAGATGCTCGCCCAGGGAAACAGATCGAAAATCGTCTTCGCAATGCCTTTCGCGGATGGCGTAACACAGTTGATCTGATGTACTAAAACAACTCGCACCTCCTTGCGCTCAAGAAGGCTCCTCGAGTGGCTCAAAATGCAAATGCCCAAGTCAGTGACTCGGGTCTGAGGAGCGGCAGCAAGAGTCTGCGCCGGGTTGTCCTCTAGGCAGATGGCTCCTTGTTGCTGCGGTATATCTGTGTTGGTCGTAACAACCTCAAACCCCGTAAGCAGTTCAGACCAAACTTCGGAGCATATGTTAGTCGGCCATGATACTGGGAGCAATGCGCGACTCAACGCGGCAGCGTCAACAACCAATCGCCCTAACAAAGATCCCCTTCTCTTCGCCAGGAAAATGGAGCGGAGAAACGACGGCGCGCCAATCTGCGCTGCAAACGTATGGCAAGGCGCCAAAAAGCCTTCGGCGCAGCCTTCTCATAATAAGAACAAGATGGCTGCGTCTAGTACTCCGGGAAGTGTAAATTTGCGGGCCACACCGAAAGGACTTCTCGCGTCCAACGGGTGGTAGACTTTACACAGCTGGACTGTAGGAAAAGGCCGCCCAGGGCCCCAAACCTGATCCCGGAATATCAGCACAATTTTGATAAACATCATGCGCAGCAGGAAAGGAAGCAGCGCCAGACTCTTAGAGAGCGTCTTGAAAGTGGTCTCCTCCCACTGGGCCGCGTCAATTGTGTCAGACATACTCTTTTCTCGTGCTGCGATTTCCTCTTTAGTCTGCTCCTCCGTTGCATCTCCTGAGATCGCATTTCTGTATGTCTTGTGCTTCAAATGCTGCGACTTGTCGGCGTCATCTTGTGTTGCTTCTGGTGCGTCCTGCGCCATTCCACTTATCTGCGTCATGCGAGCACGAACGTGCTTAAGCTGGTCTCCCGTAACGGCGTCTCTCAAAACGAGCATAGGACGGAGGACCCGGCTACTCTTATCTACAAGCGTGCAGTTAAACTGGATTCCTCTCGCAAGATCCGATAGCGGAAGCACCAGCGGAGCCCCGGGCACTGAAACCATAGAGGTGAAACTGACATCGACAGAAATATAGTAGGGCTTGTCATTTCGTGAGCGATGGAAGACAGAGTACGGGTCTACCTGAATTTCATGGAGACTCGGGATTCCTGGCGCGAGACTCGATTTCTCGACTACCCAGGACAAACCATCCGCATGCAATAACGGATGTTCGAGTGAGAGGAGCATGAGAGTCTCTTCAAGAGTGGGGACAACGGCGACAGTCCGCAGCGGTTGTCCGACCGGACGCACCCGGGAGAACAAGTTCTTGACAATGTCCCGCCACTCTTCAAACGTTGACTCCGGTAACTCAACGCCCTCCATGTTTTCGATATGTCTACTGCCAGTATCTTCTAGGTTTGAAGATGCACCAATCCGATGAACCCGATACACAACTCGAGACGAAAGGGCGGCATGGATTTCGCTTGCCATTGCCGCAACAGACCGCTGAGAACGCACATCCAATGATTCCGTGAGTAGTTCTCGGACGCCGAGCGACGAACAGTCGCAAAGCAGTGCTATCGGAGCAGCCAGCGGAATGCGTGGGAGAATTTCTCGGACAAAATAACGCAACCCGAGAAGTTCCATTCGTCCTGAGCTGTTAGCGTTCCTCGCTTGGTCCTCTGCGCCAAACTTCCAACGTGAGGCGAAAACAATTCGGCGCTTCTGCAATTGTTTCTGGACTGCAAAAACAGAGCGTCCTTCTCTGGATGAGTCAATGCCGAATCGTAGGAGTCCTCCTGTCTCTTTCCAGCGGATGGCTGAGTCTACATCTAACTCACAAAGCTCGACTGCTCGCATCAGATCCGAACGCGCCTGGTTGGACAGTTCTTGTGCTCGCGGGTCAGATGCGAGCTCCTTGATGGGCCTCTTGTTAGTCATGAAGTCAGTAAAGAAGTCCAGGATCTTAGGCCACTCGCGGATAGAACATGGCATATAGTTGACTGCGCACACCCAGCTCTTAAGCGTTTTAAGCGTCGTAGGCATCTTCATCCTAGCCAGAGATGCAACCTTCTGCGGGTCTGGTCTCCTGCAGCGTTGCTCGTAATCTAACTCCCACCCGAGTATGTCAACTCTGATGGCGAGAGAGATCTTCTTGAGTGAAAAGCTAAATCCGGACGCACAACAACGCGCGAGAAATTGTATGAGCCGGAAAAGAAGTTGGAGCGCGTTATCTGCTCTGTAATTACAATCGTCCACGTATGGCACACTGTAGCGTCGTCCAATCGGAAGACTCTCCTGTAGTGAATTGATTACGCCCGGCATCTCGTCTGAAGGTGGATCAACATGCAAGGAGTCGCCAAAAAGATCATCTGATCCATTAGTGCGGCAAGGCGGCAAATAGGTGCTCTTGCCTATTTCGTGTCCGTATTGGCCAACGAGCGCGCCATACCCCATTGACCCTGTTGCAATTGCTGCTAGTGCTTTTGAATCAAATCCAGGATCCTGCAGGTTGAAGAAAACCAATGAGACCCAAAGACAATAGACTGCTGGCGCGAAAACAAGCCCCAGGAACATCCGCAGCGACACGAAAACGTTAGTACCATATCCAAGCGCGGCAACCTTCTGCATCTTGGGGTGAAGTAGGAACTGGAGAGATCCTGTTGCATGATCCAATCCAACAAAACATCCGACCTTGGCGGATCGTAGCCACTCAAAGGCGCACCCCTCCACCGCTGCAATACGGAGGATAGGAGTCGCCACCTTGTAAAGAAGCTGAACTACTAGAATAAGGAATTGCCAGGCTCCACAGGCTACTGAGAACTTTGGGACAAACTCTCTCCGAAGTTCATCAGTAGCAGATCCGTTCTTGACGTGTTCCTCCACTGCCTTCTTGGCGTGCTCTGGGACATCTTTGTCGGCTTCTTCTACAGAGCATGAACGCAGGGCACCCAAAGGCCCTGAGGTCGAATCTGGGTCGTCTGTACTAAGTTCAGAAAATCTGCCGCATCTCGACATTTCTAAGATGTGACTGCCCAGCCGGCAAAACACTGGCAGCGGCTCATCTGGCTGAATATACTGCGGCTGCTGCGTGCTATCCAAGTTTTCCTCTGTGCAGGAAGAGATCTCGCGCGTTTCGCAAAGACCACAGCCCTCCGGTGGGAGGTGGACTCGTCGAGTATTCTGGAAGACCGGATTGTCAATCCAGTGCGGGAGTCGATGCACATAGAGGGGAGCAATCTGCTTTGTTAAAGGGTTCTGCAACCTGCTGAGCAAAATACGCCCAAGCTTGTCACAAATGCCGCCAACCGGGTTAGTATCGTTTAACCAGTACCCTACTCAATTCGGTCGCGCTCATACAACCACGGCACTAGCATCAGCACAAATGTGCCTGGTGCTGTCGCGTCGCCAAGATCCGCCACGTTTTCCGGTTCTTTTAGCCATGAGAATCTTGATCCATTAGCAGCGTCCTCGATTGTTGCTGACGCTTTAACATATCGAAACCTTGATGGCAAAACGCTGCACGGGGCTGAAAGCCCTTCTGAGAGGGAAGTGTAGTTCTCCTCGGAGTCATACCCTGCAAAGGCAAGAGATACTTCACAATATTCGAGCACTCCTTGTCGGATGCCTGCAGATGGTGAACCAAAGGCGGTATACTCGACCTTGCTCATGTCGCGCTGGATCTTCGCTCCAAGGTGGTCAAAATAGTCCCGATTTCCCAAAGAGTTGCCATATAAGTGCCTGGAGACGGCACAGCCAGAGTCTGGCAAAATGCTGACAACGGAATACTCAGGACAGTCTCCATCTCGTGGCAATACTACTGCCGCTGCAATTCGATTTGGCAATGGCTCTGGGGCGATGCGCTTGCCTCCAGGTCCAATTTGACTAAGCTCAGGCGAAGCGTTCAAGGAGCCTCGAAATCTTGGCCCATCACTCGTGTAAAGTCCTGTAACATCAGCAGGACTGCAACGCAGCCCAAACCTCTCCGCAAAATGGGACTCAACGTTACGGTAGTGGCGTCGGCGCTCTGCCTGGATATGAGCACGTCGTAGCTGTGCTATTTTGTGAGCTACCACATCATCTTCGTCCTCGACTGTAGTAGGTCCGGCGTCCACACAATTCTCAGCTTGAGCAGCTATTCTTATCCATTCGTCCACAACTCGTTTTTTCTGGAAGGCGAGCAACATGCTGCTACCGTGTGGGTGGAAAAATTCCACTATCTCCTGGGTGTCGTTGAACAGAAACGAGACAAGAACTATGTTACCGCGGATCTGTTGTCCAGAATCTTCTTCCACAATTTCTTCAAAGGGAGGGCTCCTTTTCAGGAATTCAGCCATGCCCTTCGTAGACAGGCTAACTTTCCAAAGGCTCTCGAAGTCGTCCGACTGTGGGGCAGGAGTCACATGTATCGAGCAGGAGTCTTCTGATGTAGGTCCGCTCGTCGAAAAAGGGGTAGCAACGTTTGGCAAAGCTCCGGGGAACGTGTCTCGAACCACTTTGCGGCCTACGCCCGACACAGAATCGTCGCCATCGGTTGTGTGCATGTCCTCCGGGTCGGCACCGACAGTCCTTGAGGCGGCTTGTTGATAACGGCCTGCATCAAACACTCGGGCCCTCCTGTCAGATGAAGCTCCACTCGGTGGGGCCTCTCTTTCGTTCGTGTTCCCTCGCCGTTTCCGCAAGCAGCGCCTGTTACAAGGGCAACGAGAGAAGAAGTTGGCGAAGGAAAATGGTGACCCTGTCGCGATCGAAGGGTCGGACTCGTGGCGCCTCCTAAGGGCATCAGCATGCTCTTGGGATACCTCTAAACGCCGGTAGTTACATCCCGACCGACGGCATAGGTGGCGGGGTGAAAAATTTCTGCAAGAAGATGGCGGAAGGAGATGACGGCCTTGTCGGGATCGAAAGGTCGGGCCCGCGGCGCTTCCTAAGGGCATTAGCATGCTCTTGGGATACACCTTGACGCTGATAATTGTGCCCCGACGGCATAGGTGGCGGGGTCAGAAACCTCTGCAAGAAGTTTGTAGACGAAGGCGGTGACCTTGTCGGGATCGAAAGGCTGGCTTCGTGGCGTCTCCTAAGGGCATCAGCATGCTCTTGGGATACTTCTAAACGCCGCTATCTGTGTCCCGACGGCATAGGTGGCGGGATCAGAAACTCTTGCTGAGATCGTGGCGTTGGTGGTGAAACCGTAGGGGAGCGGGGTGCAGCAGGAGCTTCAGACACCCTCTGAAACGACCGGGATCTTTCGGCGAAAGTCCCGTCGGTCACGCGTCCGAACGGTGTCGCTACAGCAGGTTCTTGCTTACCCTTCCGCTGGGTCGGGTCCTGACGCGGTGGTTTAGTCTCGGGCTGCTGTTTCGAGACTCGAGCTCTCTGATCTCGTGTCAGGCTGCTACCCCATCCCCCGAGATGTCGCACCGTCTGGAGCATCTTATGCTTTAGATCTCTGACTTTGGAGCGTGCCAGTCGGGGTTTGTACTGGTTTACGACGTGGCCCATAAGCCGTGCCTCGCGTAACGCTTGCGAGACTCTTTCGCTCTCAACAAAAGTCTTATCAGACGACCGCTCCTTCTCTGTAAAAGCCTGCAAGGCCTTCTTGAAAAGGTAGCCCAGCTGATTCTTGTCCACTGAGTTGAAACAAGTGCCATTTGGCATCTTAGCGCCGTTTTCAGTTCTCCATTTCGCAATCAGATCAGCACAGATCCAAACTTGGTCCGCCACTCCTTCGCGTCTTATCTTGATACTACCATGCTCCGCGCCACAAGTTGGGCAATCCACGTTCTGCGGTGTCGTAGTGTGCGCAAAACAGTGGGCAGCTGTAATAAGGTGGAATATAACACAGCCAAGCCGAGAGTGATTACCGCCGCACTTCTTACTGCTCTTGCCAGAGCCCTTTCCTTTTGTTTGGTTCGGTTCTGTAGATCTCCAAGGCAGGCCGGCGACGTCGAGTTTATTTCGGGTGTCCGCACCTGAAAGGGATGGCCCTTCTAAAGTTCCACCTCGCTGATACTCGTTGTTGTAGTCCTCCTGATCGCCCTGCTCCTCGTTGAGTCGGCGACTCTGGAGGTTCTTGGGTTGTCGTTCCCTATAGAATCTATCCGGATCTATTGACTGACCCCCAAGACCAAGTGCGTCCTTGATGACGAATTCAAGGACTTCTGAAAGTCGTCGGCCCGCCTCAATATCAAAGGTGCGTCCGTTTATGGCTGCGTCCTGTCTCATGGTCTTTTACATGTTTCCATGAACATGCCCTGCTGTTGAAGCGGCCTAAGAATTGCATGAAAGACTTTACTATCGTTGCGGCTGCTCGGGTCTGAATTCGGGTAGTAGAGGCGGTTCAGCTCGGAGATGTGCCCCTTCTGTTGCTGTGCCCACTGGAGGCGGTTGGCTCTCGCGTTCTCAAATCTTTGTCCAATCAGCAAGCTTCTCTGCGACTGTACTTCTCGGATGACACCTCGATACGTAAGTCTCCAACCCTTCTCTAGTTCCGTGAACAGTGCGTACGCCTTGTCTAAGTCACCGGACACCGCATTTGCAATGTCCCACGCGTCTCTTCCTACTTTCGACTCGATTTTGACGGCCTCGAAAGCAGTCTGCGTGAAGTCGAAATCTCTAAGGAACTTCCACAGGGCTTCGCGTTCGTTCATCATTTCTACCTGGGGCATGCCTGCTTCACAGGTTATGGAGGGCGCCTGTCGCTCCAGCGGCTTGGCGCCAGACCCTCCAAGTGTAGCGGCTCCGTTAAGGCGGCGGACAATGGCCTGAAAAGTGCCGCCAGACCCAGACACAAGTGATGAAATATGCTTACTGGCCATGTTTTGGATGGTCAGTTCCAGTGGGGAAAGAGCTGAGAGGTTGTCGCCGACGACCTCTTCCACTACTATGGGCGGCGCCGAAGGCATGTTTCTGCGATAAGGATGCATCTTCTTGGAATTGCCCGCTGAAGGTGTGGGCACTCCGGCAGACACATCTCCCTTCGGCTGGTATGTCTCTGTAAAGGTCAGAAAGTTCAGGAACACAAGATATGCTACGGACTTCTCGGTCTCCTTAGCGTTGATCTTGCCAATCTCCCCTAGGGGCTTCTGCTCCAAATTATGCCTAGTAGAAATAAGCCACAGAGCTGGTAAGGGCGGAGTAACGGGACCACCAACTCCGATGTCAGACCGGTTTAACTCGGGTCTGGACTGGTTGGCCGATAGATGAGCGCTCGCTGGCGATCCACTCGGTCCCATTACAAATGCTGAGTGTCCTGTTAGTTGTTCTGTCGGTCTAGGCTTCGGAAGAGCGGGACTCGCACTAGCGGCTGTCGAGTGTCCGCGGGTTCCTGAAGACGAAGGTCGCGCCGGATGATAAACCGCAGACGAAGGGATAGCTGTATCACCATGGCCTGCTCTTAAGCTCGGGACCCCGCCAGGTGGGAGAGCCGGCGCATATATCAGGACCATAGACGGCGACTCAGGAACCAGTCCTGGAGGATAGTGCGAAGATAAGCACGTAGTGCCAAAATGCGGGGTTTGTGAAATCGCCTCAGCCTTCAGAGCGTAATGTGGAGCAAGACCATGAACAAAAGATACTAATGGGTCGCTCCGGCCGGCTGGCGGGGCAAAGTCACTACGTAGAGCGGCGAATGAGCCGCCTGTAACTGGCGGAAAAGGCGCCGCTGTATGTCCAGGAATGGGCAGGCGACCACAAGATTTCCGAGGTCTGACAACACGCCACCCAAGTTCGTCAGGTTTCGCAAGCGTGTGTCGGAGCCTAAATACACATGATGGCGCGACCGTAGGAGACAAATACTCCGAACCACTTCCGGGTGACACTAGCGCCTTGCCCTTGTAACCAACAGAGACAAGAACAATGCAGATCGAACTGTACTCACTACACCAAAGGCCATCTGCTCCATGATGTTTAAACAAGTCCCAGGCAGCTGCCCAAAGCCGGAGAGACTTTTCAGAAGGGAACTCCAAATGATGCCCCATCCTCTCACTGCGAGTAGCGCGTCCTGCGGAGAACGCAGCTCCAAGCAAGACTCCGCGCAGACAAGTCAAGACGGACGTCGAAGCAGTCCCGAGCTTAATTTTCAAAGTAGCGGTAGCGCGGGTCAAGCACTGTTCTAGGAGTTTTCTGCTATCTCGTTGCGCGTTATTCTGAGGGAAGAGAAAATCAACCCGAGGTAGTGAATAGTTGCCGCCAGGCTTCCCGAGCTGCGTTTCTCCTGTTATCCATACTGGAAACCCAGAGTTAACCGCATCTGAAAACAAGTCATCGCAGTCTCTCGCCGCGAAGGCGTCTACTCTTCCTGAACCCTCAACTACTACCGGCTCCAGTTGAGCTTGGTGTTCTAAAGGGTCACTTCGGACGCTCCGCTCTGTGTGAAGGTCTTCGAGAGGTGTGCAAAGGCGATCGGGGTCGTCCCGGCCGTCAGCACTCGGATAGACATCGGCGCTCAGGCCCGCCGGTCTGTGGATGTTGGGATGGTGGCATCGAATCGTCCTTGAACTTTGATCAGAACCTTGGTTCTGTAGTGGCGAGTTCGGCGGATCAAGGAGGCCCTCAAACTCGCCGACCGGCTCCCGTCGATGATCTTGGCAAGAGCCCCCAGCTGGCTCATATCCGAAATTTCGGAGTGGCCCTTCGCCCGCATCCATTTCCGGAATCCGGACTGTCGTTCCGAATAACCGAATCGTACTGCCACGCATCGCGGTAATCAGCACGCGCTCGAGAGGCAGAACCACTACTCTGCCCAGGATGTTGTAGGGTGGAATCTGCTGCAGGCAGTTTCGGCGCTGCAGGCAGGCTTTGAGCTCCAGTAGAGGACCGAGCCCCAAATCGTGCAGTAGCATCATCGAGGATGTCCTGTTTGCGCTGGAATTCCGCCATTTGGTCCGAAAATTGTTTTGAAAACTCGGAACGGATTTCCCTCCGTGCTTCTTCGAGAAGAATCGTCCTCCAATCCTCCATTTGTAGCTCTGGCATTTGCGTCAGATCCCTACTTCCCTGATGTTGAGTGTGACTCTGGCCTCCACCTGCATTAGATGCGCGGCGATCTGCAGCACGGCTTGTCGCGCTGTCGGAAGACCTAAGGCGAGGAGCTTTGGGAGCGTATCTTCGATTTCCAACGTCAAAAATGGGCGGCTTCACCGGCTCCAGACTCGCCGGTCGCTGGCCCGAGCGAACATCACACGCGGAGGCTGAAGATGTTGGATACACAATGTCTGAATCCGGAGGAGCGCTTGGCCGCGCCTCCGTTCCCTGCGAAGTTAGCACTTCAATGCCCGCAAGATCGTCACTATCACCAAACAAGCGCTGTCCGACTAAAGTATCTCCATGGCCCGTTTGATGTCGGGGTGGAGGTAGGTTTGTCGAAGTGCGCAAAACAGGAGTAAGAGCCGGAGACTCATCATCTCGCTCACTGATAGGAGAAAGGTCCGAAGCAGGAGGCTGCGGGACAAACGGAGGCGGAGCTGCAGAGGAAAGATCAGTCTCAGGAGCACCGCGCGGGTTCGGAGACTCGAAAACTCCGCTATCCTGCAAGCCGGAAGGATCATCGGAGATGCCCAGCCCTTCGAGGTCAACCGGACTTCCATCAACTCGGGCCCCCTGTAAGGTCAGGCCCGGGGTGAATGGGTTCCGTATCGGCTGGCCCGATGTTGTCGTCTCGTGAGTGGACATTCTTTAGGTCTATCTATAGGCTCTAATATAACGTAGAGTAGATATACTAGAGACAATAAAGCGAGGACGCAAATATTCGTATAAATGCAAACCGGGCGTGGCAGATAGTATTCTTAAGCAGAAACTATAAACCGGCAAATAAATCAGAAATAAACCAGATTGATAAATATAATCAACAAAGGGCGCAAACCTATACGCTGTGCTTCGAGATATCCGCTTGCCCGCCAAGACGCCCGGACAAACTCTATTACACCAGAGTGCGCAGGTATGTACTACACGGCCTACGGGGTGAACTGGCTAGGATCACAACCAACGCACGTTATGTAATACAGCGGCAAGCTTTAGGGCTTCTATAATGTAAGCACCACTATGCCAGCGCTACTATAACTACACTAATACCCAAATTATGGCACTAGTTGCCAGTATCGTTCTCCACCACTTGAACCAATTAAGCACACACAGCTAAGACATCTAAAGTGGGGATGTGTCCCTAGTGGCAACACTACCTAGAAAGGCGCGTATCTCGCGTCTTTTAAAATATGGATAATTCCGGCACAAATATTCGATGGTGACAAATGTAGCGCAAAGGCATCTATAAAGGTTTCTCGTCGACAAATGTCGCAAATAAATGCACTTTCGGACTGTGGCTGGTCTGACCAATACACAATCAACACAAATGAGAAGTCAGACGCTATATGCGGACGACCTTGAGCACAATCCTGAATCTTGAAAGTCTTGTGGCAAATCGGCCGTGAATCATGTGTGCTTGACAAAGAAAGCAACGCTTATGAAAGACGGGCCAACTTGCCTTGATTTATGTAATTATGTAAACATGAGGCCACTTATCTTAAATGACCACTCCGCCACTCTTCTACTCACATAGCGTAGGATCCAAGTGTATATTTTCATTTGTGTGCTCCGTCTTATCCGAAAGATATTAAATGAGTCAAGTGTCGATCTTTGAATCGTGTTAACTCGTCGAGCGAATAGGTGAGAGATCAAATGCGATTTCCATATGCGATCAAACGAATGCTACTTATTGAAGCGATCTCGAACCTTCTTTGTTCGATAAGATAGCGGCTATTTGTATTGCTTTTTTTTTCAGTAGGTCCTTCTTCAATAAAGATCTGGAGCTTCTGTCTCAGATCTTGAAAGCATTTTTTTTGTAATGCTCTTTTGCACCCTTTTGGAGTGGGGCGATCTTTTCGCTCTCTTCTGAGCTATCTAGTCTTAGCAGATTCGCACTCTCCGATCTCTAGGACGATCTCCTCTAGAATGTGATCTCGGTGTGGTCTGTCGTAGATCTAGATACGTCTCTCGTACGTGCTTGATATGGCCTTATCACGCCGTAAGACTAATTAGGTCTCGAAATATATGACGAAATGATACCTATTTCGAGTAAAATGAAAGGGCTTTGATTATTTATGACTGTCAGTATGTTGGCAAGCCCCCCCTGTAATACGCGAGCTAGTCGTCTCTATCAAGATAGATTAGATTAGTCGCGGATTACCTATATTCCGCTGTAGTTCGGCCGGAGAGTCTGGGCCTTGAGGAGCGATTCCAAGCAATAGTCTGCTAAAGACTATGCTTGGGGAGCTACCAGTGAATATGTAGTCTCACGCGTAAGCACTTCGGTTTTGCTCTTATTCACGATCATGCTGTACCTTGCTCCCACCTCCTCGAAGATCTCCACAGCTCTGGCCGTTTTCTCCACACTGTGCCCCCAGATGCTCGCATCGTCCGCATAGATTGTCAGACTGAAGCTCCTGTCTGTGTTTCTGTTTGCGCCAATTACTCCCGGCACATCTACCACCACTCCCCGCCTTGGCTGCCGCTCCTCCGGCGCGGGATTCCCCCACCGGTGCCTTCTTGGCGCCCAAGTTCTTCTGCTGTTTTCCCATCCCCGCCGCGGCTCCTCCTCCGCGGCTGCCTTCTTCTCCACCTCTACCCCCATCAGCCCTTCCTCCTCTAGCCTCCTCTCAATCTCTTCTCTTCATTCATCGCGAGGGTGTAGATGATGAATAAGTAGGGCGATATAGGCGACCCCTGATATGCCCCGAGCTATATCGCTACCTCCTCCGCCCTATGCTTCCCCCACTGTGAGACCATGCGGGTCCTCGCGTGAAGCCTCCTTAGCCTGGCCACATAATCAGCCGGCACTCCAAGTTCTAGCATGATCCTCCACAGCTTGTCTCTCTTCGCTCGATCGAAGGCCTTGCTCAAGTCACACAGTGCCAGCGTGAGATCCGCCGTCTCGTCTGCCTCTATGATCTCCTTCACATCCAGCAGATAGTCCCGGCGCCCCATCCTGGCGGGCCTGGAGGCCATATCGCCGCACCCTTCCCACGGTGTCTCTTATAATGCTCCCAAGCTGCCTCTTGTGCGCGTTGCATATAATCTTATGCGCCACCTGCAAGACCGCCACAGGCCTGTAGTTAACTCTCTCCCCCTTGTCCCCTTTCCCCTTGTACAACCAAGCGACCCAGCCTGTCTGCTGCTCTTCTGCCCCATTGGCCTCGTCGATCTGCTTCAAGATCTTCGCCCAGTTCACCGGGCCCATCTTAAACAGCTCCCCGATGAGCCCGCCTGGCCCCGCGGCCTTCGCGTAGTTCGCCTGTTCTATCGCCTCCCTGTAGGCCTCCCAGGGGAGCCCTCCCCCCCCCATGGCCTCTAAACTGCTCGCCAACTCCTCGCCGATCTTAACCGACCACGCCCCTACTTGTGCCTCTTTCTTCGCCTTCTGCCATTTCTCCTCCGTGTCCTTTTCTCCCTCTTCCGGTATCTTCCAAAGCTCCTCGATTATCAGCCTGAAGGCGTCTGCTATCTCCTCGTCTGTCCGGGCGATCTTTTACACTTTCCCATCTGCTCCCGTTATCTTTATCGCCACGTCTTTCGCCCTCTTCTTCCTCTTGCTTGTGCCTTTGTGCTGTCTCGCCATTTCATACAGCTACTTCACCTGTTCTGTCCTCGTCCCCCTCGCAAGCTCCCTAATTCTGTCCGCCCAGCCTTCTCGCTTCGCCTTCTTCTCCTCTTCGCGGATCTCCAGCACGATATCTTCCTCGTTCTTACGCGCTTCCCCGTATTCTGCCAGCATCTCCCTGATTCTGGCGCCCCTTTCTGCCCTCCTCTTGGCCCTGCCTCCCTCCTCCACAGGTTCCTGCTCCCCCTTTTCTCTTCCTCCTCGATGGCCTCTCCTCCAGGCCTCGAAGACCTGCCACAGGACCCTATCGGCGTCCCAGTCTCTTACCAGCCTCGCGAGGATGGCCCCCGCTAGCTTCCCCCCCTTCACAGCCTTCGCCTTCTTTTCTCTCATCCTCTGCAGTACGTTGCCGGCCTCCTTCCTCATCCCTTCCTTCGCCACCTCTACCCGCTCCGTCCTCACGTTCGGCATCCTCGTTTCCGTTATGGTCCGGATCCTCTCCGCCGCTTCCCCCCAATCGGGTGCCCCTGCTCCCCCTTTCGTTTCCCCTTCGCCCATCCTGTCTCTTTCCTCCTTCCACTTTTGACGCCGCTCCTCTTCCTCCTTCTCCTCCTTACCTTCCTCAGGACTCTTCAACCAACGGAAGCGCCTGTCAGCCACTAGCCTCGCCAGCCGCGCGCCTTTCTTCCCCTCCTCTTCGTTGTAGGCGTCCACCCCACTCATTTGCCTGCACTGGTTCATCGCCATCCTGCTTGTCCATTCCATTATCTCCTGCATTTCCGCGCGCCTCTCGGTTTCCACATCCTCCACGCCCTTGGCGTCCTTTTGTGCCCTCGTGAGTGTCTCCCACTCCCTCAGCCTTTGCCTCTCTTCCTCGGCTACTTTCCTCAGCTCTTTTTGCCTCTCACGCCGTGCCCCTTGTCCCTCTTCCTCTTGCCCTTGCTTCCAAGAGCGGCCAAACAAGCCTGCCATTCGTTCCTCCAGGCTCTTTCTCCTCTTCCTTATTTTTCCTATTTCCTCCCACTTTTTTCGTTTTTCCTGCTCCTTTACTGTCTTCCCAAGCCTCTCCTTAATCCATGCCAGGCCGCCCGATCTCTCTTCCGTCCTCTTTCCATTCTGTATCTCCCTCATCTCCGCTCGCAATTCCCTGGGCGTCCACCTGCTCACGTTCCCCAGCCTGATCGCCCTCCTCTTGTCTTCTGAGGTCGTGCCCCTTTCTTGCTGCCCCCTCTTCTCACCGTTTTCACCCGTCTTCTTTGTGTTGTTTTCTCCTCCTTCCTCCTCCCCTCCTACGCCTGCCTCCTCGGCCTTCTTCGCTCTTCCCCCTGCTTCCTTTTCCCTCCTTCTTCCAACCGTCCCCCGCAGCCGCTCCCATTCTTCCCGGAACTCCTTCCCATACTTCGACGGCCGGACAAGCTCGCGCTTATGTCTTGCCATTTCCCTGATCCTCTCCCGGTCATATCTAATGGGCTCCACATTCCCCTCCTTCTCTTTCCCTTTCGCCCCAGCTGTCCGCCCTATCGTCGCTAGCATAGGCCTATGGCCCCTTTTTTCCCCCTCCTCCTTCATGGTGTATCCCATTTTGTCTCCCCCTATCTGTATCTTGCGGAGCCTCCCCATCGCCTCCCTGTTTGCCAAGATGTAGCCAATTTTGCTACGCCCTTCCCCGTTCGCAGTGGTGTACTCATAGGCGTGCGCCTCCGCTGCTCGATTCTTCCCTGTCGTGCAGGCGAGTCGCATGCCCCCAAGCTGCGCCAACCTCAGTAACTCCTCCCCGCTTCCGGTGGTCACCCTGTCCACTATCCGGGACCCCGTCAGGCCCTCTCTCGTTTCCCCTATCTTCCTGTTTGCATCGAGGAAGAGAAACGTCGCCCCTTGCCAATTGTCTGCTTCCCTTTGCAGCTGCGCCCACCTCTTCTCCGCTCCTAGTTCCCCTTCCTGTCTCCCATAGTGCCCAGCCAGGGTTAGTCGCGCCTCCCCCCCCAATCTCGACCCTGGCCGTCTGCTCGGTCGCGGTGTCGATGTTTTGCACGTGTCTCGCTATTTCTGCCGACAGGGCCACCGTTACCCCCTCGGCATTTTTCGCCCCCCTCCCTGCCTGCGTTGTCAACTTGTACCCCCCGACCCACTTGCTGCCCTCTGGCAATCTGCTCTCCAGCAGGAACGCTACGTCTATCCCGTTCGCCCTCATGTCCTGCGCTAAAGCCTCCTCTCTGCCCTTTAGCGTGTTGCAGTTGTGCATGTGCACCCTGATGAATTTCCTCCGCTTCTCTTTCTTCCTCTGTTTCACTTTTGATTGTTGGCACTCTCGCTTTTGCCGCCTCCCTCACAAGCTCACGGCCTAGGTTTTGCCCTCCTTCCTTCTCTCGCATCCTAAGCACTGCGCGAAACCTCGACCAACCCCCGGGGAAACATCCCCCAAGGGTCGCAGAGGCGCCATCATAGACAAACACCCTGAGCCAAAAAAATTAACTATAGCCATGCTGCGGCGATGCAATCACGCAAGCAGCTGGTGCCGCAAGGTCGGCGAAACGTCCACCCGCGAAAGAACGCTGGCGGTTCCGTGGAGGCTTCTGACCGTGCTCTTCGGGGTTGTTGGTCTGTTGGTGCTACAATAGAGAAAACACAGCAGGGAAATCCTTGAGAACGCGACATCGGTAAAAGCACGACACCAGAAAACTAAGGAGAAGAGCCGAAGCCCACCTAGATACTTGAGCAGATTCTTAGCCGGGGAGAATCTAACTTAGAGAGGGGGCCCCCAAGATCATCAGCCCAGGCTCTGGGTTCGAGATGTTTCCTGTTTTCAGTGCTTGTGTAAGTTTTCGTGTGTTTTGATAGGTTTCCACTACGTACGGAAGTAGCTGCTTAATCTTGGAGGAGAAGAGTCCGAGACGTCACATAGTTGAATGCCCACTATCAACATCACAAGAAGGGGACACTCTTCCCCCGAGTGCGCAAGAAGTACCACGCTGAGACAATATATTCCCTGGTAGTTCTTCAAGCATAGTCTTTAGCAGACTACTGCTTGGCAGTAATCCTTTCTCACGGCCCAGACTCTCCGGCCGAACTACAGTCGAATATAGGTAGTTCGCGACTTAATAGAGGCGACTAACTCGCGAATTACAGGGGGGGTTTGCCAACATGCTGACACTTGCCATTTGATCATAAGTAGGCAACTTCTCTCATTTTACTCGAAATAGGTATCGCTTCATCATATATTTCGAGAACTAATCAATCTTACGGCGTGATAAGGCTAGATCAAACACGTACGAGAGACGTAGCCAGATCTACGACAGACCACACGTAGATCATATTCTAGAATCGCGACTAGATCAGCCTCGTTTTCACCGCGCGGGAGAACCATCTACAGCACAAGGCGACGGCTCGGCGTCTAGAGATCGTCCTAGAGATCGTAGAGCGACTATCTGCCAGACTAGATAGCTCAGGAGAGAGCGAAAAGATCACCCCACTCCAAAAAGGTGCAAAAGAGCACCTCAAAAGCAAAACGCCTTCCAGATCTGAAACCGAAGCTCCAGATCTTTATTGAGAAGGACCTACTAAAAAAGCAACGCAGGCAGTTGCTATCTTATCGAACAGAAGGAGGCTCGAGATCGCTCCACTAAGTCACATCCGCTTGATCACATAGGGCAATCGCGTTTGATCTCTCACCTATTCGCTCGACAAGTTAACACGACTCAAGAGTCGACACTTGACTCATTTAATATCTTTTGGCTCAAGGACTGAGCACACAAATGCAACGAAAGACCAGACGCCTTCGGATCTTACGCTATGGGAATAGAAGGGCACTGGACTGGTCATTTAAGATAAATGGCTGCATATCTACATAACTCAAGGCAAGCTGGCCCGTCTTTCTCTTTCGCAAGCATTGTCTTCTTTGTAACCACATGCGACTCACGGCCGATTTGCCACCAAGACGCCTCAAGAATCAAGACTGTAGCCAAGTCGTCCGCCTATAGCGTTTGGCCGCTCATCTGTGCCGATTGTGTACTGGTTGGACCAGTCGCAATCCGAAAGCGCATTTATTTGCGACATTTGTCGACGAGAAACCTTGCGGAGATGCCTTTGCGCTACATTTGTTGCTATTGAATATTTGCGCCGGAAGTAACCACATTTCTCAAGGCGCGAGATACACGCCTTTCTAGGTAGTGTTGCCATTAGGGACTCGCCCCATTTTAGATGTTCTAACTGTGTGCTCTTAATTGGTTCAACGCCCGGAAGGTTTTCAAATATGGCAAAGTACATAAGTCGCCTTTCCTTAAATGCTAAAGGTTTTCAGTCTGTGTTTTTATTATGGCACCCTAGGCACCAACGAAGCCCTTCAGAGCACGTCACACCCAGACGCCACGTCGGTGGGCGTCAAATGCACAGACGAGGAGGAAACAGCTGCCATATTCATCCTCGTGAAGAAGTGGACGTAGTGACTTCTTAACTACACAAAAAAGTCGAGAAAATCCGACTGGCGATCAACTAAAAAGCAACAACTGCTGCACACTAAGAAAAAGACGCGAACACTCCGAAAGTTCCCCACTGATGCGGGTCGACATTATTCAGATGCTGGCTGAGCCACTACCGTTCGTCAATCAATCTGACGCTGACAATCTTGCAAAGACCGACACAGCGACGAGCCAGGCTCCTGCATGCTTGGAAGCCAGAAAACTGGATCCAAAACGCAGAGAGCGAACACAGGCGCCAGCGCTCTGACTGGGCGAGGCGAGCCAATGGCCCCCACATGCGAGAACAGTTCACGATGCTGAGCAACGCCAGGCCGCCACCTCACGAATGCTCAATCTTGCTGCTGCTTCGACCTACAAAAACGCAGCGCCGACTTCTTCCGTGCTTTGCAGAGATTTTCTATTGCCTTTTTGTTCATATTTTATTATCTTCCGCCGCCCGAAGGGGGTCCGGCTGATTATCTTAGCCTACGAAAGGCTCTAACTAGTTTACTCTGTGACAAGGCTAGCCATACCCGTACAAGGGACGCGCCTAGATATAGGCCAGACCGTGCTCAGATCGTATTCTCAAAGTCAAACCGTGACTAGATCAGCCTCGTCCTCGCCGCACTGTAGGGCCGTCTACAGTTTGGGGCGATTACTCGGCCCCTAGCGATCGCCCTAGAGATCGTAGAGCGAGTATCTACCAGACTAGAGAGCTCAGGAGAGAGCGAAAGACCATCCCACTCCAAACGGTGCCACGAATCCAAAGGGTGCCAAAATAGCTGCTCGAAGTCATTTGCTAATAAAGAAAAGCTCTCAAGATCTGCAACAGGCGCCCCAGATCTTTACTGGGAGGGACCCATCGAAATAATAAAGAATAGCTACTACCTTATCGAACACAAGGAGGCTCGAGATCGCTCCACTGCGTAGCATTCGTCTGATCATACAAGGGAAGCTGCGCCCTGATCTCTCACCTACTCGCCCGCTAAGATGCCACGACTCAAAGGCCGACACTTGACTCATTTAATATCTTTCGGAGATGACTGAGCACACAGATTAAATATACCCTCGGGCCATGCGCTATCCTATGCGAATAGAAGGGCACCGGGCTGATCCTTTAAGATAAAGGACTACGCGTTTTTTTTTATCTTCGTCGTTAAGCTTATCAAGCTCCGGACTTTTTCGCATTGCTCAAGCCGGACGGCTCAAGGAAATGCCGCGCAGTCACCCGCTTATAGCGTTTGACTTCACAGGTCGACTGCGTATTGGAAGCACCCGGTCGCAGTTCATGTGTATTGGAAGCACCCAGCGCGCTTGGCTTCGCATTTGTTTGAATCGTTTGACTTCGCACGCGTTTGAACCATTTGACTCCGCACCTGTTTGAACCATTTGACTCCGCATCTTTTTGAAGTCGTTTGACTTCGCATCTGTTTGAATCGTTTGACTTCGCATTTGGTTGACTGTGTACTGGAGTGCCCAGCCACAGCCCATAAGTACACAGAAAGGACCACGCTCGTCATCCTCTTTTTGGATTGGTCAAGACTTTTCAAGGTTTCAAGTAGTTGAGCAAGATACTGCACCCAGTCGCCCGCCTATAATAGCGCTTGGCATCGTATTGTGTCGGTTGTGTATTGGATAACCCAGCTCGCAATCCGGAAGCGCATCCATTTGCGACATTTGTCGGACGAGAAACCTTGAGGATGCCTCTGCGCTAAATTTGTTGCTATTGAATATTTGCGCCGGAGATAGTCCATGCTTTAATTTATAAGACGCGAGGCGCGCACCTTTCTAGGTCGTGCTGCCTTTTAGGGACTCTCCCCCGTCTTAATTTGTATAAGTTGCGTGCTCTTAATTGGTTCAAGCCCCAGAAGGACGCTGGGGCCTGGGTCTCTCAGACTCAAGCCCAGCCCCATTCTCATAGTTCAAAATCTAAACTATTTGCATGCTCTAACCTTGGCGATTCCTCTCGGTGCGAGGCGGCTCCTACTTCGAAACAACGTCGCCAGTTCGCAAGCAGAGTAGCAAAATCCGGAATCTTCGAAACAAGAAAACCCAGCGCGCGAAATCCGTCACCCCGTGGCGGACGAGTCGAAAAAACGAGCGCCCGAAAGGTTGCGGCTCTCCCCCTAAGCGAGAAGCCCGGGAGGGAAGCAGGTCGGTAGGTCTCCACCCGTTCTAGTTTGATTTCGAACAAATTTAATGTAGCTTTTAACTACCCAGCAAAACTAACTGTAACTAGATCACTCGATATTTCTAACTATTTACTTTCAGTAGCTAGTTAAATTATTTGTAGACCATCCGCCGCAAGAGCAGCAGCCATGACCGAACCGCGCGCCGGAAGTAGCCTCTCGAGGTCGAAGAAGGAATCACGCTCGCGGCTGAAGTTGTCCCTGAGGTGTTTCGAACGAGATGAGAAGACTGCCGAACAGGATCAGCTCAGACCCTGTTTTCGTTCTAAATATAGTCGACGGCTGTAGGAATTTTTTCGAATGAAATCAATTCCGATCTTGAAGCATTTTGCAATTTGTCTGCTCATACGTGTCGTGACTCTCTCACGTGGATCCTGCGGCCGACCGTTCCACTTCAGGTCAGCCGTTCACCCTCACAATCTCCACCACCTCTCGCCCCTTCTCTCTTCTTCAACCAACATCCTTCCCACGGTCTAGGTTTGTGCCGTACTAATTCAGTGCATAACAGGGGGCGCGCTGGAGCTGCAACTTGCATGCATATAGTCACTGCGTTCATCTGGTTTTGTATCCGCTTTGTCTGGAGCCACCAAGATTGCATAATGGAAGCAAGCACGCCAGCCATGTCTGTATATGGAAGTTTACAGATGCGCAGCGCTAGCACGCGGGCACGCGACGCCACGCCCACGAAAACGAGCACGAACCGCCCGCACAGTCCCCAGCCGCCCGCGCCCCTCCTCCTGTGGGGGGCTGACAATCACGGAACCGAAGCAACTACGACCGAGAGAGGCGCGCTTCGTGTGGCTTCCTCCTTTACAGCCGCGCTCCCCGGTCACAACGCACTACGCAAGGCGCATCCGCCACGGGCTCCTCTTCGTCTAAAAAACTGATGCCGCACATGGGACGGCCAGCAACTGGCCCAGACTCACAAGCGGCCCGAGGGCGTCGCCAAAGCGTACACACAAGAAAAAGCACCGCGGGGCCATTCTCAAGCCGGCGCCTCTACGCGTGCCGCCGGTCTTTTTGAGATATCTATGACACACAGGCGGGGCAGAATAACAGCGAAAGCGAGCTGCTGCCATTCCTGCTTCTTTGATCTGCCAGCTGCAGCGCGTCTCACAGCCTATGCTTTACAGACATGGGCGTCATGATTGATCATACACAAAACTAGCGGCCGTCGCGGCGTCGGTAATTTCGTGGCCATCATCTTCGCCGAGAAGGATCCCCAGCTCTTGTCTCCGGGACTCCCAAGCTTCGGAAGGTAATGCATACTGTCCACCAAGCTGGTTGCTCAATGTAAGCGACCACTTTACCACTGTCTCGATGTTTGCGCCTTCCCCCTGTGGAACGCCAAGGCCATATGCGCCCCGCTGCTGATAAAACTCGGAGAGCTCGCGCCAGCTACCCGCCTCAGACATGATCTTGAGGTGGTGCGTGTCGCGATTCCCGAGCACCAACAGCACCCGGTCTACATTGTAGCAAGTGCAAACAGATAAGAACGCGCGCAGACTCAGAATTTTGCAAGATCTTGCCAAATTTTTGTAAGGCTCTCAAGACCCTTAAGGCATCAGAGAGCTATAGACACCACGACCGAAATCAGAAAACTGGACCCCGTGGAAATGAACGAAAACACCGAGGCCGAAGGGGTGCGATTTCTCTCCTTGGGTTTTCAAAATACCAAGAGCAAGACGCGACACGCCTGGAGGGGCCTTGGCCTTTTTATTTCATTAAGTCCGCCTCACAACATCACAGAAAAGCAGACTTTTTGGGCGAGCAAAGTACGTAGCGAAGCGCTTCAGCCGGGGCGCGCCTCACTGAAAGACTGGCGCGCGTGAAGCGAAGGCGGCCGGGTGTCCACCGATTTGATGGAGAGCGCAGCGCCAAAACGAACGCCACAGAGCCAACTACCTACGAGGATAGCGCGCCACGCTTGCGCTAATCTCTAGCACCATAAAGATGAAAAAGCGCCAACACGTCAAGGGGAAGAGCATGACCACTACAGCCCACCAGCGCGCCAAAGTAAATCCGAGAGCAACGACCAGAGCCAACATCGAGCCCCCAAAGACAACCAAGAAACGAAAACCAAAAGCAACCAAGGGACCCGCCGCGCCCTCTCTCCGGCGGCTCTTATTCGCCGAAAACGACACGAAAAGCGGCCGCCGCAAAGACCTGGCGAGCACAAGACAGACGACGAGCACGAACCCCCCCGGCCCAAACAACACGACCCACCACACAGCAAGCCCACGGGCAAAGAAACGCCCAGGGGCCACACACGGCAACGAGCTAACCCGCCAGACCGGTGCCGAACCCGAGTCCACCACAATAGCCGAAGAACCCGCAGCCAACCGATCCAGGCGACTGCGGCTGGGTGAGGTACATAACAAGAGGCCTACACGACTGGCCGCCTTTTCTGTTTATATTCCCCCAAAGGAATACGACAAAAAAGCGACCCCAGCCGAGTGGGTAACGCGCTGCGCCACTTATTCACGCAACACGGAGGCACGAAGGCGGGCAGGGGTCCCCCGTCCTTTTCTTTTGTTCGTGCTCCTGCCTTGCTTTTGTTTATGCCCTGCCCTGTTCTTGTTCATGCTGCTGCCTTGCCTTGTCTGCCCTTGTTTGTGCTCCTGTCTTGTTACCGGTTCACTTTTTCGCGCTTTTCCTTTTGTTACCTGCTGCCGAAGGTTGAGTCCTTGCGCGTCGAGTTGCAAACATGAAAAAAGCAAAAAAGGCGAGACGCCTTATGACTAATAAACCAAACTCGCCCGGTGCCTTTCAATGGAGACGCCGCCAACCAACGCCCAGCTCCTTCGACCATCTTCCGCCGAACCTTCTGCGCCTGCTTTACATTCATGGAAAGCGGCGCGGAAGGGTTCTACCCTTCTACGCATTGAAGAGGAAGGTGACCAGATTGGGCGCTAGTTATCAAATACATACAGAACAGAAGTCGCGGGCATTCAACTCCCTGCAAAATTGACCATAGCAAGATCCTGCAAAATTCTAGGCCCTTGCGGTGTTCCTATGCGTCTGTTTGTAACTGTAGTCAGACACTGCGCGCAGGAATGACAGCTGGACACGGATACAGCCGGGGCCCTGGTCACAGTTGTCGCCCAAATTGACGAGCTTCGTGCCTCTGTCAAGTTCCAAGATCGGAAATTTCGCGCAAGTCGTCGCATCGCCAAGACCGCAATTCGAGGCCGGAACTTTTTCCAGACAGCAGCTGCGCATGTCACGCTCGTTCTTGCTATCCAAACAGGCACTGTTCTTCAGTGAAACGCCAGGCGTGATGGCAATCCATAAGCAGAAATAGTGATAGCTCCCCTCGATATCAGACACAAGCACAGTCGTCCGCCGCCACTTGATATCAGACACAGTCACCCGCTGAGCCCCGTTGAACCCAAGCGCATACACCAAGCGAGCTAATAAACCCCAGTGGCCTGGCGGGTGGTGGTGGCATGTCATTCCTAGACTCAAGAGACTCACTTCCCCGGCATGCGCAGCGCCTTGCTACCTAGCTCCCTAGATCTGGGCCCTCACCTTCCTTGCCTAAGCTAACGCCGAAGCCTTCCCAGTACTTTGCCGCTTGCGCTTTTCCTCCATGAAAATCACCAGCCAGAGAATGAACCACAGCGGAGCGCCTCGCGCTTTTGGTGTGGCTTCCATACTTCACAGCTGAGGAAAAGACTGCCAAGAAGACTGCCCCCCGAGTCTTCACGAATATCACACAACAAGAGCCAGCCCCGCCTCGAGATTGTAGGAGGCACAGGCGTCGCCAATGGTTGCACGCTTTTACGCCTGGAGCGTCTTCACCCTCTAAAGCTCGGAGCTATAGACCCCACACGCCCCCAACTACGAAGACAAAAAACCCGAAGCCCCCCAAGGTGCTTGCACATGTTTGGCAGCTTAATGGAGCAGCCTCCTGATGCCATTAAACTGCCAAACTCGGCCACCAACTTAATGGCCCAAGTTTTGGACTTTAGTTGCTTGGGCTTGGCACTTTAGTCGCTGCGAACACCGTGACCAAATGGCCAAACTCAGCCCACTACCCGCGGCCACTAATATCCCGGCGAACAGCACTAAACGACGAAGCCCAGCAAACTAAGCAATACCCCGCGCCTAGTTTGATGAGTTTTATAGTTCAGTAGCGTCCGCCCGGATATTCGTGGCAGATAGTGCGGAATAGTGACGAGTAAGAGGCTGAGTCCCACCGCTTAGCCAAGCGACTAAACAACGAAACCAAGCAAACGAAAGCAGTTGACTGAGCTTGGCCAGTTAGATGGGAAACGAAACGCCCAAACCCGGGGAACCATGTAACAAAAACCGCAGCGCGCCAATGAATCCCCCAAAATCAAGCAGCCAAATAACAAAACCAAAAGGACCACGAACCCGCCAGGCTAAGCCTACTAAATGACAGCCGGCCTCAGGTTTTCGGGCTTTTTTCCCTAGGAGTTGGGAACGTGTAGAATTGGACTGACCCAAAGAAACAACAAGCCTGAAAAGATTCAGCGCACCCCCAAACGCCACGCCTGCCCCTGCGCGAATTGCTGCCAAGGCCAAGCCGGTAGCAGAACCAGAGGAGGGGCCCCCCATGACAAGCCTCAGTCACCGTTCTCAGCTTCTCAAGATTGGCGGGCAATACTGTGCCGCGCTTCATTCTTCAACGCTATGGCCATAGTTAGCCAAGACCAACCACGGGGAAAGCGAATGGCCTTGAGATAACTACACCAAGCACCCGCATGAGTTGCGAGATGAAGACGAAGAGAAGAACCGCAACCGCGTAGCAAAATGCAGCGCCCCCTTACGCTCTGTCCTAGTCGGTGCGCAGGAATCAATTGGGGCAGCTGCCTGAACCCGACCCGAATCCAGTCAGAGCGATCTGCCTCAAAAGAACCCCAAGTGAGCCACCGATCTCCACAGAGCGAAAATCTGCAAAATGCACCCAGAGAGTTGAGGCGCATACTTGAAGGCGCAGACTCCATAAGGTGAGTACTATTTTGCTAAATCTGTCAACGCGACAGACTAGCCCACTAGCGGAATCCAATCGCTTCGAACCACGAATCAGACGTGAGCTGTGAGAATAAGAAAGCCAGACGCATAATGCGCGCGATTGGACCCGCTAGCGAGCTAGTGTGCCATGAGAACAAGGGAGGAGAGGGTGGGAAAAGAAGAGAAGAGAGAAGAGCACTGAGTACTTGAATCGGAATAGGGTGAATACGAGCACGAATAGAATACGGATGCCATACGTGATAGCCAATCTATCACATACGCTGCGTGTAGGATGCGCAGCCCCCACGAATACGAATAGAATACGGGATACTGGAGAGAGAGGAAGTGGGAAACCGATAGTCAGCGAAATATAGTACGCACCCCAACTAGCTACGTCGAACGCCTTCGCTATTCTTGCACATCAATAGGCCTGCCACTGCAGTGCAGGCGGCGCACGCGGCGGGCTGCGCTTTGGCTCTGATAAATGGGGAAGCGCTTCGATTAGTTACATCAAAGAAAAAACCGCGCCCGCCCGCGTTTTTTTGTTTTTTCCGGCTTAGCAGTAAAACCCTAGAAGCCACTAAAGCACGGGGCCAGCAGCAACCCCATTGCCAGGGCTGAGCCTCACCAACCAGGGACCGCAGTGCCTCACATTTTTGAGGCCTTTGATAGGTGGCGACGGCTGCAGGCGAAGCCCGAGCCCGCCGATCAAGTTCGCGAGGCGTGGCCCTCTCGTCATTCGTAGCCCCCTGCAAAGCGGTGCCGCCGCTCAGCTCAGTCAGCGGGCCCGGAAGCTCCGCCATGTTGAGCGCCTGAGGGTGAAGGCCACAGAATGCGAGAAAGCACCCATCAGGCGAAAGAAATGCGCGAGCACATCGCCAAACACTGCACGCAAAGCACGCAAGGAGTGGCTACCAGATCGCGCCTCTTGGCTTTTCACGTCGCTCACCCCCCGCGCTTCATCTTCGCTGCCATAGTCGCAGCCCTGCCCTCTCCAACAAGTGCCCCCACTTCACCAGCGGCAGCGCCTCCCCCATCTGCCTCGCCCTGGAGGGGACTACCCCACCGCCTACCCCTCCCCCAGACGAGAACAGAACGGGAAGAAGCTGCCACCGCTTCGCGGTGGTGTTCTCTTGTTGTTTTCTAGGGTTTCCATGCTGCGCACTCCGCTCATTCTCGTCACGGTGATGCCCGCGGCCTCGCTCTGGTCTCATGCATACGCACCGAGATGGCGAAGCAATGGCTTCACCTGAGACGCTTCAGCCGCAAGGCAACCCGCTGAGGCTTGGCGCGGCGCCTCCGTGCAATGAATGTCGTCAATGTGTGAGGACCACTTGCAAGGGCCAAGCGCCAACAAGCGCGCCGCTGGGGGTTCATGAAGATCCCCCCCAGAGTACTCACGCAGGCGACCTCACACGCCCAAACTGGCAAAAAGCTGGCCAATGAGAACCGCCGCGAGCTGTCAGCCGGAGTGGTGGGGGGGTCTCTGTTTTGAAAACAAGCAACGCGCAATACTTTCAGCGCACTAAGTTGGTAATATTTCTGGCGCCCCGAGAACTTTGCGAACCCTAAAAAAGTTCCGTCCGAAAACCGAGAACCTGGAGGGACTACAGGTGACAGAATGCCACTCGAATGCGCGAAGGCGTTCTCGTCTTTTTGCTGGGTGGAGCTGGAGTGTTTGAGGGGGTCGCCAGCGAGCATTTCCAAGCAAGGCGACCAAACTCAGCAAGGGGACAGACACAGCGCAGCCAGCTGGTCTCCCAACTCAGCAAAAACCAGCAGCGCGAACGCCCCAAGGCGAAGCAGCTGGGGGAAGCTCAGGGGCCAAGTGTTCGCCCTATGGCTTGCGAAGCTAGCAAAGCCGTCGAAGCTTTGAACAACGAACGGAGACACCCGGCGGCACCAACGTGAGGCCCCAGACCTCGCGACGCGTCAGCACGTCCGCCGTGGCCAGCTGGGGCAGCCTGCCACCTCATTAGCCTGGCAAGCCTTGGAAATCACTCCCGCCGTGGATGTGTCTAAGCCAATTACCCCGAGCAGAGTTCTCACGCGAAGACGGTGGCAAGGTCTGGCGGCTTTCAGCTCGCTAGTCTCTCTCTATTCGAGGGGCGCCCGCCTGCGGCCTTGTTCTGCTCATCGAAGTAGACGAATCGCCCCGCTAGCGCAACTGGCTGACAGTTATGCGCGTCCCGTTGATCAACGCCAACACAGTCCGCCGGCCCCGTCACCGACCGCCCAGGTTTTCCAGACTGCCGAAATTCGGCCCAGACGGGTGGACAGTCTTGCCGCTTAAATTAAAACCAGCAAGCCCAACAATAGGAGGCCAAGAAATTAACTCGCGAAAAGCGGGGCCCCCAAAATGCCAGCAAGTCGGGCAAGAAGAAACAAAAAGCGCGAACCTTTGACCAGAGTGGTTCTGTCCTTCGCCCGAGGTTCCAGCAGCTGGGCAAGGGCTCAGCGCACCGCGTCGGGCGTGTGGACTTTTTTCCGTTGCTTTTTTCAAAAAATCGCGAAAATCTGAAACAGCCCGAGGCTCTAAACTTGCAAAAAGTTGCAAAGAAAAACAATAGGCGGCCTTTTTCGGAAAAGAGGCAACGCATTCGGCGGGAACGGGTTCGACTTTTGCAGAGCAGTGGGCCGACTTTTGCAGGGCAGTGGGCTGCCAGGGCGTTGCTCTCTGGCTCAGAAGGGGAAGCGCAGAGCACAGCACCAGGGGGGGCGTAGCAAACCAAAGCCAAACCAAAGGAAGCCAAACCAGAGGAAGCCAAACCAGAGGAAGCCAAACCAGAGGAAGCCAAAGAACCAAAGGAAGCCAAAGAACCAAAGGAAGCCAAAGAA